AGTACCGCTTTGAACGTTGGCCTTATTCGCAGGCCACCCACTCGAGCTGCTGGGGTCTTTGCAAGATGATTGTCGAAGATGTAACACCATGTACCTACCTTATTGTAAGATGCGCAGCGTTCAGCAAAGAAATATACAGCATACTCAAGTGAACCACGGCGGCTACATGATTCGACGGCCCCTTCATGTTGACGGCCGCAATTTTGTTCTCTTGTATATTATACCATTGAATCTGTACAGAAAAGACAGTACTTCTAGCACATCTGTTCAACCTTCGACGACATTATCTTCGATTTGACAATGTTCCATACATATGTATGCCAGGCGCGACTTCTCGGCTTCGAACCAGTATCATTCTTTCAGTCTTTTAAGACAACAAATCCTCTTGACTGCTCTCATTGACGCTATGAGGTTCGCACAAACAGCTTCTTTGATGCCGAATCAGTATTTAATCACATCCTGAGACACTGTGAGACACATGCAAATTTGTCAGCCTACAGTATACTCTTGCGAATGTCATCATATATCATGCATGATTTCTCGCTCTCCAAAACACATTCAAGCATTTCCTCTCTGGTTTATCAGCTACCTGCAGACTCAGATCTTGATCATGAGGTCCGTTCCTTATTTCATTCACTCAACATCGCACATGATGTTCCACATTCCACAGGATGAAGAAGTGCACGGCAATTGTCACAGGTGAGTGAAGCACATGCGCATGATGACTCGGAATGCCGACAGTAGCCACGACTTCACATGCACGCTGGAGGTCTGCAGTCTACAACATGGGCAATGCTTGATGTATCTTTTCATAAAACTACTCCTCGACTTCAGGTATTACATCCAACACTGGACTCGTGCTCACAGCATTCCAAATTGTCGTTCGAGGTCCAGAAGAACACTGCGAGAGCAAAGCTCGCTGTTAACCGCTACAACAATTATCGAAGCACCTTCATTAAGGCGTACACGATCACGACCAGCAGGGACTCTTGGTATCAAGGCATGATGGTCGCACATTGATTACCTTCGAATCAAGTCTAACACGCTCATAGTATCTTTCATTGCAGAACACAGCTGCTTCGCCAAAAAACATCTGGGTCCAGTTCATCTCCTGCCGAAAGTGCGATCCAAGGCATTTCCTGATGCGATGGGGGCGCTGTGAGGCGTGCTCATGTTGCTGCATGAAACCTATGATTCTCAGAGAGAACGAGAGGCAGAGCAGGTGAGGAAATGCACACCCGCTTCGCTGAGCACAGAACGCTGTCGATGTCGTCAGGCGGCTCTCTCTCGCACTTCGCTTAATATTGCGTTGGAGATCGATCGTACATCTTTCGTATCGCGGTCATCAGCCGGCGATGAATGTTCTCATTCGAGAAGATGCCTGCTAGATCGTGAGGGCGCTGCAGGAATAGACCAGGATATATATGTAGCCGTCGCTAGTGCTGTTGTGTCGATGATGAATGCGCAGCCAGTGACAGAACACCGAGAGGAAAGAGAAAGTCTCCATACCAGAAAATTCCGTGCCACTTGAGCTTCAGTACAACGAAGCTGAAAGCATGATGAGGCTGCAGTGGGAGACAGTTGCAGGCCATCTGTTTGGGCCCTAATCAATGCTGGTTCCAGGCCTTATTTAGCGCTGAGATAAACTTTGATAATGCTCGAGGTAGGTGGCTGCCGACATCCGCCCTTCGAGTTCTTATTGTCACACCAATCTCGACAACATCTCAAGTGCAAGCGGCAGTGGACAGTCAAATCACCCGAAGACCTCAGAAGCACCATGAAACTTCCTCACAGGAACAGCCGATCTGATGCATGAAGTTGAACGACGCCGACGCCACCAGATGATTCGAAGACATACAACAAAAGCATAAACTTTTCTCTCGTCATACCATAGCAGTCCAGTACTTCAAAGGCACCAATGAACCAACTCCCCACGCCCAAGAGCTTTGATTCCCCATCGCCCAAAGACTGCAAGGACCAAGATGACCAACAACAGCCACCACCCCAACAACAACAACACATCTACATCCAAGAAACGCCAAAAGAACGACTCTACCGCATCTCCAAACTCCTAGAAACAATGTCCATAGCCGACGTCGACGCAGTAAACGACCGAGACTGGAGCCCCTCCTCGGCACTCTTCCAAAACAAAGCCACATACTGGGAAGCATCCACAACAGCAACTCTCTCGGTGAAAAAACTCTCAGTCCAAGGCTTCGTCGACTCGATAAAGAAAAAAGTCGCAATGTCTCCCGACTTCAGACTGCGCATCATAGATTTCACGACGACGGTGGATGAGGGGAAAGGAAGGGCGGAGATTTTCGCGAATATGGAGGTCACGGGGGATTGGAGTGGTGTTGCGCAGAGGAATGTGACGCATTTGGAGTATCATTTGATTGAGGGACGGTGGTTGCATGTTTCTCATAGGACGATGCCGGGTATGGATCCTATGAGTTTGAGTTTTGGGTGAAGGGTGTGAGGGAGTTGATCAATGAGTAACTCAGGCAGCGCGAGTTGACCTACAGAATAGGGCTGGCGGACGAGCACCAATTGCAAAGGGTTCTGGGTCTACTCAGATGCTCTGGGGAAAAAAATGGTCGTGTGACTTCAGAAGCTGCATTCAAGATCCTGCGCCACGGCAATGGGCAGTCTGGACAATACCAGGAGCGAGCGCCCTCCAAGCCACGCATCCCCAGAACTCTGCTTCTGTCCTTAGTTGTGACGAGGAAGCTCTGCGGCTGTCAGAATAGCAGTCAGGACAGCAAGCTACTGGAGGCTGAGGCCATTTCTCGCCCAAGCTGCGCTTCCTGTGATGGACTGCTCGACCCAGCTGCCCCGAGAAACGCGGTTGGGACGCAGCAAGAGTCCCCCAATTCATATAATGAGGCGGTGATCACGAGTATATCTCTGGAATGTATTAGAAACTTCAATTACGGTCTGCTAGCATTTATGCTTATAGCAGGAGGTATCTCACGCTTCCGCCCCAATGCATGACCTCCGCTAGGCGCACTGTGAAACGCCTCAACGGGAAATCGGCAGCCTTTTCAAAAACAACGCTCATGCAGTGGCGACACCCTCACGCCGTCGGATGGTGAGCAATAAGTCATCCATAGGGAAAATGGTTGCGAAGACCTTGATCTCCTCGCTAGTTGGAGTCTTGGTGTGCTTCCAGTCATAGCTGGCGCTGAACTTGTGCAACATGAGCATGAGGTTGAGTGTAGCGTACGTCTGGCCAAGACAGTAGTGTGGACCAGTACCGAAGACGAGCCAGTTCTTGTTGCCCTTCTCCTCTGCATCGCCGATCGTCCATCGTTCGGGAACGAACTCGTCGGGTTGCTCGTAGACGTCTGGGTCGTGAAGCGAAAGCCAAGTCGATGGGACAATCATACTGCCCTTCTTTGCAACGTAATTGGCTTCTGGGATTGGGAAGTCCTTTTTGACAAGGTATGGAACCATGAGGACTGGTGGGCGGTAACGAAGGGTTTCCTTGACAACTGCTCTCGTATATTGCTGCGAGAAAATGTCAGTTCCTCAGTCGCTTTTACGAGCTGCGATATCGATCACTTACCATGCTCTCAAGAATTTCCAGGCTGATTGGCTCATTTGGATTTGGGTGTAGTCTGTCGCCTTCTTCCCGCACCTTCTGCATGACATCTGGGCGATCTGCCACGACCTGAAGCATCCACGAGCAGGCGCTTGATGTCGCATCTTGGGAGGCGAAGAGGAAGGTGAAGACAGTCATGGAGATCTCCAAATCTGTGAAGTTCCTTAGCAGCATTGGTGGCTTCTCCTCATCTGGCACCTTCTCGCCCTTTGCAATGCGCTCTCGGTATCGCTCAGAAGCAATCATTTGCATCACCCAGCGATCCATAATACACTCCGGCTGAGCACCCTTCTGCCTCATTCTGACTTTGGACTTGGCAGCGCAGTTGGAGAAGGCCTCGAGCACTTTGTCGGCGCATTTCTTTCCGTACCAAGTCTTGGTGAATGGAAGAATGATGGGGAAGTTGACCAGCTCAAGAGCTGCGGTGATCAAATAGTAATCGTCCGCAATGCGCTTGACTTGTTCCCGGCTCATGTAGTGTCCAACGAAGGTACGGCAAGACACAGCACACATGATCTCACGAAGCTGGTACACCCATGGCTTTGGCTCGCCTGCTGCCTCGCTTTCGCGCAGGAAGTCCTCGAAGTACTCGTTGTAGACCTCCTCTTGACCTGGCAGGTAGTTCTCCAGCGCCTGCCTAGTGAACAAGCCATTGAGACCCTTGCGATATTCAACATGCTCCTTTCCATCCAAGAACACCCAATTCTCTGGACGCAAGAGTTTATGCGCTACATCCACCACGCATGGCTTGACGTACATCGGGCTGTTCAGGACCTTGCGGGCCATGTCGCGAGTGGCTGCGATGACGACAAATTTGTGGAAGACGGACACGCAGGAAAGCGGACCAGAGAGCCATTTGGTATGGTATGCGGAGAACTTGGGGTTGACACTTTCAAGGAACGGTCCAACGAAAGGGATTTTCCACGCGTCTCCTGCCAATGGGCCCTTGTGTTGCCAATATGATACTGTATGGAAGTCAGCTACATCCTTTCTCCATTCGCGTGTTCCAGAGCTCTCTAGGCGACTTACACTGGTCGTAAACTATGGCTGCCAGGAAGATGGTCAAAAACACGCCAAACCAGCTCACCGGCGTGAAATTGTCGAAGGCTTTGCTGACGAAACCGGTTTGCAGCGAATCGATAGTCGCGTGGATGGTGTTTGGGTGGTGTGTTGCCGAGGCATTGAAAGTTTCCATGACACTCGCCATGCTGGCGATCGCGACGTGACCGGGCGCGGGTGTGCGCACTCGGCTGTCAGTGGTTTCGTGTGCTGTTTGCCTCCAATCACAACAGTTCTGTACCTGGGCCTGGAGAGCTTGAGTAATTCCTCCTCTCTGCACCGCCGATCCTCGATATCGCAGGCTGTACGATTTTTGGCAGGAGTCCAGGTGGAGGCAAGAAAGGGAAAAGGACAGAGGCAGAAAGAGGAGAGCGGATGGCAGAGACCGTAGCCGTGGCCCCGGAGCTCATTGCTGTATTTCCAAAAAGTCGAACGATTTCTGATTATTCATGCTCTGGTGTGGCCAATGACGGGCCTCGCCGTCCCTCGCGTAATCTACCCGGCACTTTCTCCATCTCACTCACTTCTCCATCTCACTTCTCCATCTCACTTCTCCATCTCACTTCTCCATCTCACTTCTCGTGTGATGAATCATCATGATGTCCGCTATCTTTTGAAAATTGATCCGGCTTCCTCGTTCTGCATTGGTATGGACTCTGCCTTCACATAAATTTCATTGCACCTGCAGGACGACGCCTTCCTCCAGCCAGAGCCTACTTCAGCAACGAGAAAGGGTCCGTCTTGCTGTGGGTCGGCCCGAGCACAATCCGGATCAAGGTGTCTGCTATTGGTCTTCTTCACTGGTTCCAGATTTATCTGGTGTGATCTCGATGGAGAATCGCATGATTTGGGGGATATGAGTGTGATGAGAGAGGTCACAAGGTGAGATGATCTTCGTTCGATGACGCAAGCTCCATCTACAGCCAACGATTTCAGGGCTTCAAGGCCAGATTAGAATACAGGGGGATGATCTTCCAATCGTGACAAACTTCAAAGCACAGCTTAAGAAATCAGGGCCTGGCAACACCGGCAGAAACATAAAATTGCACAGCCAGAACTAAGAGACCATTGACGGCGTAGGATGGTGAGGATTGACGCTACATCGCGGACGAGGGCCTCATTTCTGCGTGCTCTCACGGTGCGGTAACTATCAAGTTGCACATATGTATTCGCGCCAGTAAATCTGCAATTCCACGAAACTAGAAATGGAGTCCTGACGGAGAGGCATTCATGTCTACCGCAACCTCTTTCAGCCATTCACTCACTCCCCTCCTGATTTGGCAGAGCAGGCTCCACCAAACATATCTGCCCATACTCAAGCCCTCTCAACCTCCTCACAATCCTCTCACCAAAGTCCATTCCAGTATACTTCACCGACACGACCGAGAACATGAATTTCAACTTCACATCTTCCCGCTTCCTCAAAAAATCCCTCGCAGCTTTCCAACTCCCCTTATCAAGCAAAACATGTTCGTCATCCACATCAAGGCCTAATCTGCAGAAGAATCGAAGATCTTTGCTCGGAGCGGTCATGCCTGATCTGTCTACGACTCGTCGGTGTAGGAATTCGATGACTTCGTGGTAGGTGATAGAGTGAGGGAGGAGGATTGCGTCGGCTTTCACTGTCGCTAGCTTGCCTGAGCTCATTAGGTGGTCTTCGAGCAAGCGGCCGGGTTGGAATTGTTGGAGTTGGACGATGATGGGGATGCACTCTCGATGTTAGCTTGGCTATGAAAGGGTTTACCCATTGCCAACGTACTCGCCGTCCTTCATTTGCTTCTTCGTAACTTGGCGGACTGCCAGGATTCATATCGGTAGTGGCGGCCATGGGAACAGAATTGCGTGGAAGTCCAGGAAAGGAGAAGGAGGAGCGTTTGTGCATCTTTCCCTAAGCTTACACTATGGTACATGGCATCTGATGCATTTCCTCATCACCGTGACTGGAGTTTGCTACCGTGTTCACGGGGTTGTGAATTTTGTGATGTACATTGCTCATGTCTAGTGCCGCTGTGAAGAGCGCGGTGCATCAGTCACAAGAAGTCCTGCGCGTGCCCAGTGGCCATCATGCTTCTTCTCAGTTCCGACGTGACACAGGCCGCGCTGGATTGCTCAAGAAAATGTGCATCTTCGCCATTAGTACTCAACTACGATTTAGAGACATGGACGTCTGCCAAAGATGTCACAATTTGAAGTCTTTCCTTGTCAGCGTCTGCCAGCGGTGCATTGCCAGGCCGATCAACCACGATGGACTTCATGCCTGCGCGCAAAGTATAGTCAGCAATCATAAACTCCAAAGCAAGCATGGGCCATCAGTAGTCAGAGCAAGAAAGGTGTCTTGCTCCAGCTTGAGACCTTGGTGGCAACAGCGTAGGAAGAAGCGCATCTCTCGCCGCTGTGTGGCGACATCGCTTTGACTCACCAGCTTCGATCGCAGCATCAACCTCCTTCACGTTATCACTCAAAAACAGCACTTCTTCTGGCTTTCGCTAGGGTGATGTCAGTCATCGCTCTCGTATCTCTGCTCTCACCTTTTATGACTGCCTCGCCTACCTTCAACGCCTCCGCTATCTTGCTGTAGCTAGTCGACTCGGTCTTGAGGCCGGCATTAGTCGTATCAAACCAATGAGGCTCAAACAAATGAGTCCAATCTTCCGTGCCAGCAGGCTGTAGTGAATCACTGCCTGATCCACTCTTATCTGCTGCCTGTTTAGCAGAGACTTTTCCAGCATCTACAGCAGTAGCCTCTCCATTCGAAACGATGATAGAGTCATCAGGGTTGACATCACGGTCATTCGCCTGCGGCGGCTGCACAGCCTCATCGTCATCGGTTGTGGCCTGCTTCTTAGTCGGATGCTCTTTGTTCGCCTGGACTTCGGCATCTTCTGCCGAACGGCCACGTTTCCTCACAGAAGATGACGCCGCTGTCCCAGATGCGACTTGCACGTGTCCAAATAGCAGCTTCTGGGCAAAGATGGAGCCGGATGAGTAGATGGCCAGTTCGAAGCCGGAGTCTCTCCATTGCCGAAGCTGAGGGACCACATCCGGGAACAGTTCTGTTCCGTAGGCACCGGTTTTATAACCGGTTTCCCAAAGATAGCCTTGCAGGTTTTTCAGGTAGGCGATTTTGACGTCTCGCTTGGTCAAGTCTTCCACGTGAGCTTGCAAAGCGCCTGGTGACTGGCGGTGTTCTTCCGGGAAGGCATCACGGTATTGTGCAAATTCTGGCTCTTCCCACTTGGTGGCGAGGACTTGAGGTAGAGCTTTGATAGCGTACGGAAACCTGCAGGCGGAGAGGATCAGTGAACCACGAGTCGTATGGTAGGAACATTGAATAGGAGATCTTTGGGAGCAATGAAGAGTGGTGAGAGTGACCTACAGCGTGTCTTTGACAAACGCGATTGAGCATACCGTGCCCTCTGCGAAATGTCAGTATCGGGCGACGTTGTTGCATACTGTACCTTTCGAACCTATGTCGAATAGAATGCACTTTACGCCTTCCATTTTTGGCAAAGGCACATGGGAAGGGAGGCGAGATTGTTGTGTGGTGTTGGTATTCTCGTAGAAGCCCAGTAGGAAGCAGCTGGAAAGCATCCTGGCTCACTCGGCGAATCATAAGGCAATGCCGACCGGACCTACCGCAGGTACAGAGTTACCTTCGCAGCCAAGCAGCCACGAGGCACGAGCAGCCTTGAGGTTGGCAACACGGCTGGCAGATTATTCTGGATGAGAGCTGCGTGGACTGACACCTCGGAGCGGTACGCTGTGGAGTTGACATTATTGAGCTTGCCATCTCGCAATGGGAACGTGTACAACCAGTCAAGCTATCATACAATGCTTCCGACGGCGGCCTTGGTTCTGCATTCTACAGAGTACACCGCCGGGACGGCAGATACGATGGTTTCTCAACGACAGCAGCGGTGCGCCGTGCCTGGACCATTAATCTCTCGGTGTTGCGTTTCGGGAAGGACTTGAAGCTTCGTGTATGCATATCACAGGCGACGGAGGCACGACTTGCAGCAAGCTCGCGCAGTTGGATGCGAGGCCCGGAACGGAGTGCATGAGCTTCATCTACTGTAGTTATTATGTTCCCCAAGTGCTGGCAAAGCTACTGCACATCTAGGTATGCTTAACACTAAAAGTCTTCAAGAGTCCGAACTGCCATAGGCCCCCGAGCCGTCGCTATTTAGGCGTGCATTCGAAGCAGTCTGGACTGGCGAGAGAGGTGATGAGCGGACATGTCTCACCGCTGGTTACGCGACAGCGCGGGCGCTTTCTATGCAGATTGGGAGTTGCCCGAGCGGAAACTGCCAGCCATTATTATTCAACTCGATGTGCCTGTCCGAGCCGCTGCGCTTTTACCGCTGAACCATATTATTGTTCTCCTCTAAATAAGCGACGAAGTGTTCAGCGGTTGACTCGTGGTCGGCAGCCATGGCTCGGTGAAAGCATCTTGGCCGACCGACGACCGTGATGGCTAGTTGGCTTTCACTAGGCAGTGCATCTCACACGTGGCACGGTGGTCACCAGTTCGCTTTCTTCGTCGAGGTGATGGAAGAAAAGGGGGTTCACGAAGTCATAAGGCCTTGTGGCCCTTGTCGCAGGTACGTCAACAGTGCTGGTGGTCCTTTGTATCTATCCGATAGCTGTCCGCGTGAGCAACCACGTCCAGCCTGGCGGCAGGTCTAGCCTCGATCTGTCCGGAGGTGGCGGAGCGCCAATGCAGTACTACTGCGGCACGCTGCGTGTGGCAGCAGACTTGGTGTGCTGGAGCAACCAGCTACTTGCCATCTTGCCTGTCAGGATCCTCGGCTACCTCCGTACATCGAGTGTGCACAGAAAGCTGTGTCTGCTGCCATTGGGAGGAGTGCTCACCGTAACGTTAACTTATGGAGAAAGCTCTCGATGGCGAGCGAGTAGAAGGTAAGTACACTTCCGTGCTGTACCTATCTTTGCAGCTTGACCCTTTGACGACGTGCCCCACCATTATTGCACCATTGAGAAGGGCAAGTGATCGACGGCTTGGGAGGGCATTGGAAGGCAAATGAAATTGCGTACTGCAGGGTGGCTGTCTTGAGACGCGCCAGGAACGTTGGCAAGCATCAAGGGCCAGGCTGCCAGCTTGTTGGGCTAGTGAAACTCACGTTGTCTCACAGAGCGCTGACAGCTCGAGCAGGCAGTAGGCGCTCGCTTGCTTGCCTGCGACGTCGACGACACGTTCACATTGTACGTACGGAGTAGGTGGGATGGCACTGTTGGAATCAAGGTCAGTGTACAGGCAGAAGTGTAGGCTCGGTGCAATCCGGCGCGGTATGGTATAATGCACACGCTATTATTATGACAGCATTCCGAGAACACAACAACGTCCGAGCTTACGCAGCTAGGCCGCAAACAGACTAGCCCCGCCTGCATTGCGTGGCCAATGATATCCAGGTTCATTGTTCCAATCGATTCCACCCAGAGAGGCTGCTCCTGCCGCTGCCGCTGCCGCTGTCATTGTCACCGTGCTACATACACCGCCTCGAGCCCTCTACCCTTCTGCATATCACCTCTTCTCACCATAGTGCTCCCGCCTGCCATTGACAGTGCTGACCCACGGTCCTTGACTTCGCTCGGCCTCACGATCGCTCCTTCAATCTTCACACCTGCGAACGTGGCGTGACTGCCTGATCGCGACACATTCCAGGTAGCTCCGGGCAACGACGACGGCTGTGGTTGCGACCCTGAAGAGCAAGAGCTCTGCCTGCCGTCTGGGCCGCCGATTACCTCTCCACACCCTACGACTCTAATTCCAACAACATCCAATTCTACCCACAGATGTGATACACGCTCGACCGGGAATCCGTGAACAGCCAGCAGCGTACCGCCCAAGCTCAAGCCCAAGCCCAAATCCGGGATCCGTGAAGCGCTTCGTCATCACTCTCCAGTTCCACGCGGCAAGCCATCATCTTTCTGCCACCACGACTGTACAGCCTGCAGCTCATCTGGACCGCTGTTCGCCTGCTGCACTGCACTGCTCTGTGCTATAACGACGACTGCCGGAGTGAACCCCTCGAACATCATCATCATCACCCTAACCCAGACCCCACTTGCATCTGAGACTGAGACTGAGCCCCCGACTGCAGTACACATACCGACCGGGCCATTTGGATGCTGCATGCCCCTTTGATGCTCGACCAGGCATAGCAGCACACCAACCTCAGGCAACACATTGGCTCCACGCTCAAGCTCCCTCCCAACGACTCATCTCTTCCGCCTGACTCGACACGGCCTCACCTCCCACCTCTACCTTTCTTCTGTCACATATTCACCACACACTTGGTTACCACCACCCAACCCCGACTGCCACGCCCGTCTCTTTGTTCACGACCCGTAACGACTTATTTACCGACCGCCAACTACTGCTCCTTGACGGACGCCCCCCCTCGCCCGCCGTGCGGCGACTTATTGCACTTCCGACATCTGCAAATACGTACAAATGATAAACACGACGATCCTTACGTTCCTTTGAATAGCACATTTGCACCCGACGAATTGATTTCCGAGCAAGCGAGCGTTTGAGCGGCTTTCCTGTATTGTTATCTTGGATTGGAACCGGAGTTGAAGAGAGTGCCCTCCTATCGGGAAAAGTTTACGACTTGTTGGCGTTGCTAGACGTTGGCGTACGTGTGTGTTTACGAACATTCGACACATCTGCTCCGACTTCACTCTATGGCTTGTATGCGAGATGGCTTTGAACAAGGACGCCTTCTCGATAACGGACGGTTTATAACCGTCTCACCACTCAACCATGGATCATTCGGTATGGTACTGGCCGCCAGGGATACCACCACTGGGAATGATGTCGCCATTAAATGCATCACCAAGCCTGGAGCTCCCTCCGTGTGTCCAGCTGCTATCTCGACCGACGAACGTTCAGAGGAGCTCGCAATCCATTCCAAGCTGCCACGTCATCCCCACATTGTGAACATGATCACCAGCTTCGAGACCAACAACCACCAATATATGGTTCTGGAACTCTGCAGCAATGGCGATTTGTACGAAGCCATTCGACTTGGCAAGGGACCTTTGGAGACTGGTCACGTCCGTGACTTCATGCTGCAGCTTGTCAGTGCTGTCGAGCACTTGCATGCCAACGGTGTCTACCACCGTGACATCAAGCCCGAGAACATCTTCCTGACATCTGATGCAACCATGAAGCTTGGAGATTTTGGATTGGCAACTACTGAGACCTGGTCTACTGAATTTGCCGTGGGCTCCGACCGCTACATGGCACCAGAGCAGTACGATGCTGGCGTTTACGGCTATGGATATTCTCCGGCAGCAGCTGATATTTGGGCAATCGGTATTGTCTTGCTAAATGTCATCTTCCAGCGCAACCCTTTTGCTGTTCCCACACCAAAGGACCCACTGTTCAACGACTTTGCTCGCGATCGCCAAAGCATGTTCGACGTCTTTCCAAACATGAGCCAGGACACCTACAACATCTTGCAACATTCTCTGGCTCTAGATCCTGCCAACAGGTCACTTTCGGCCGTCCGCGAGGCTCTTGAGAATGTAGTCAGCTTTACGACAGACGACGAGGTCCTGGACGATGATTTCTGCACCAACGAGACTGAGCTTGTACCCGTTGCTACTGCTGCTCGTGAGCCTCTCCGTACGCCGTCGCTCACCAGTCCCAACCTATCATCTGGCGACTCCTTCCCATGGGCCACTGCTCTGCTTAAGACGCCTCAGAAGCAGTCACGACAGCTGTCAACCATCCGTGACGAGGACTTCGACCTGTTCCCAGAATCCGCCAACAACTCAGAATGGCAGTATGTCGATACTGACGAGGCCTCACTGTCTTCCAACCTCGATTCTGGGCTCGGCATGTCTTACAAATCCACCAAGTCTTCCAAGTCGATGCAATCAATCGACTCTGCTAAGCGCATGTCTGGCTTCGTGGGATCCTTGCCAATCAGCTTCTCTCGTCCCTCCACCAAGTCGTCTCCATATGTTGCCAACGGCTTCTCTAAGAGCTGGAGTGACTTGTGGGATGAGGAAGAGGAAATGCAGATCGAAGAGCATCCACTCGAAGATGCTGGCATCGGAGCAAGCATGGACATTGACCGCGTTACTATTGCCAAGCCATGCACGCCTCAGCTTCCAACTGTGACCGAAGATGGTCGTGGAAGTGTGACCCCTCGTCAAGCTTTCGCAACCATTGATGCTAATGTCGGCGCTGCGACACCCTTGCGGGAGTCAGTCAACCTCAGCGATGTCAAGCCAGAGGAGAAGCCTGTATTGGTCAAGACCAAGTCATCGTCGATCCTCGACAAGTGGGCTGCCTTGGGAAGCTTCCGTCGTGCCAAGCAGCAAGAGTCAGCATCCGTTGCGACTGCTGCTGTCACGCCGGCAAAGACCAAGTACTCTGAGGCTTTCGCAAGCTTCACGCCCTTCAGCAGCAGCAAGAAGGCGAAGCCGACACCCAAGACCCAGCAAAAGCAGCGTGAGCGTGCCCCAAGCTGGCGTCAAGGTAGCCCACAGCGACTTCGCTCCTCCTCCTTCAACAGCAGCAAGGTTTGGCAAGATGATAACAACTGGCGCGAGCACAAACACCAACCAAATATGAATACGACGACACTGCCGATGTCGATGCCCATGGCTATGCCCACGCCTGTGCGTCGGTCGATCGGACCCAAGAAGCGTAGCCCCGAGAGGAGCTTCCTTGATGATGTCCTTGACGATGATATAAAGGACGTAGATCTTGAGTGGTCTGGATGGCGTATGGACGACCTCCACTTGTAGATTGACCTCGACTTGTATTTCAACCTGGCCCTACTTTGTCCAAGATGTTTCACTTCACACACGGCGCAGCTCTGCAGAGGGATTGGAGTTCAATATGGAAATTGCTATGGAGATTTGGAAAGGGGTGCCGGTGAGCACCCAGGGAGTTCTAACATGAGAAACTGCAGAGGAAGATACCACATTTGTTTTCAATAGGACAAAGTAGGGGAGGCTGACGAGTCCAGCTCAACTCGTTCTGTAGAATTAGCTTCCCGCCCTCAAGAAGAGGTGCGAGTGTGAACAATACAGATTCTACCACTCAAAAACCATGATGCTCTCCATTTTCACACTGGGTGCTCGTGGTCGTGGTCGCTATGTGCCAAAGGTGTCAGCTGACGACATTAGTCCTTCGATCTTCAGCTCGCCTCTTCTTTTGTTGAACAATTGCTGCCATCACGCCGTCTTTGCATTGACAAGGGGTGCAACTTAGTTCCTTGGACAGAAGGCAACAGTCCGCCCGCCTAGATAAACCACCTTGCAACGCTGCCCAGGCTGGCTGTAGATATCATCTACCCGGGACAAGATGCTGGAGAAGCTGCACAAGCTGCGTCCCAGATGTTTGAAAGCAAAACCATTCAATGGCCATCGCGAGAGCATTGCCGCCAGGCAACCAGAGGGCGTGACACACAGTCCTGCAGACGAACTGAACCCGATGCTGCCGACCGACTGGTACGACACTGTCAAGCCTGAGAATGATCTTCATGACACCTTGAACCAGTGCCATCTGCAGGAGCAGAGTCCACTGTGGAAGCTGCCGCCGGAGATCAGAAATGCCATCTTCGATCTCGTCACCTTGCCAGAGATCATCGAGCACGCGGAGGATTCCGCTCAGAACATAGGATAGACGCGAGGGTGGCCCATACGGATGTGATGAAAACCTGTCGTCGCATTTCTCATGCTCGCAAGTCCTCTTCGGCATTGGCTTCTCACAAGACCCAAGACAAGACGCGCGGCGACTCTGGCACTTCTTGCGTTCGCTGACCGAGAAACAATCGGAAGACGCTGCACCGTCTACGCATCTCTGTCCACGTGTCTTGACATTAGTCGTCAGCGTTACTCCGGAACTGCTTGTCCACGTTTCAGGTAACGGAAGCCAATCGGGTTTGGAAATGGGTTGGCTCTGAAATCCCTCTTGAACGAATAGAATATTCGTACACTTGATGAAGGGGAATCTTCGTCAGCTGTTGCGAAGCGTTGGTCTTTACAAGAGCCTTTGGAACAGGAAAGCTATTCGATAGGAAGTCTTGAAAGTGGGTTTCCGAAGGATGTTCGTTCGCTTGTACGACAACATGCCGCCGACCAAGGCAGTGCTCAGCGATCATTGGAAAGCTTCTGGGCATGATGATGATACCGAGCGACAAGTTTTTTTTCTTCTCATCAAGCTCATGCTTTATCAACTCCACCCGAAACATCATCACGACTAACCCGCCATGCGAGGAAATGTCTTCGGAAATGGAACGATGAGAATTGATTGTCTTCTCAAATTCTCTAATGAGAGGCATGGAAGAATGCGAGGACTGCGCTACCAGGCTGAACAAAAAAAATGAATATACGTTATTACGATATACGAACCTCCACCTCGTGCGAGATATCCAACAACCCCAACAACACTTCCATCTTCACTTCCGTTCTCGTAACAAGCAGAGCAAAGCCCAGGAGGATCGACGATTGCGTGAAGTTTCAAAAGCGATAAGTAGTCTTGCCTACAGCTCACCCATAGCTCTCCAGAAGCTACCTACCTACCTACCTAAATAAGCTTGACACAACTCCTTTCCAGGAAGCATTTGCGGCGCCTTCCAACTGGACACGAGCTTTCTTCGGCAAAATTTGGTAGAGCTAGAGCTGGGAACAGATTAACCCAGGTCCCGTTCGGTCGTCCGGTTGTCGTGGTATAGATAACTGGTGTTATAGTGGATTTCCACGGTCGTTGTCTCCACTATATATCGTGTTAGAATTGGCGCTATAATACCACCATAACAGGTGTCTGTTCGGTTGCCAAGTTGTCGTGTTATTAGCCCCTGTAGGATGTGGTAGAGTCACCACCACTACTACCACCACGCCTTTCCTTATTGCGGTCTTGCGGCATCACGTAGGGCTGAGAAACAGGTGATATCTTGCCAACTGAGCAGTGTTGTGAATCGTGCTAAGGATGCAACTAATTATCGGATTGACAACTATGTAACTATACGAAGAAGGATTAGGAGCCTACTATAGAAACTGCAGTTAATATACCTATTATATGTCCTTCCTCTTAGTACAGGTTAGCTAATACTATTAGCTGACTAGTATATTACCTAACTAAACTATAACACTCCCCCTTAGGTAGAGATAATATGCTATTCAGATTAGATACTCCAAATCTAGGCTTAGAGCTTTACTTCATCTTCTAACTGTCTTTAGATGTTAGGCTATATCTGCTTTATATGCAGCTTTATATGCTGTACTACTTATACGTGCTTATATTATATTGTTTGCTAATTGGTTTGCTTTAGAGTAATGTCCTTAGTCGTAATTGCAGGGTTAGTAGGCACCTATAAAAGATACTTAAACTTGACTAGATAACCTAAACTTTTACAATCCACTCTTTAGCAATCCCTAGAGCACTAGCAGCCTCTACTAGATTTCAAATTCTTACTAAGACCCTTAAGTCTAATAGCTAGCCGAGACTTTAATATAGCGATAATTCTTTACCCTAGCCCGGGGAGTATAGCGAGTAGTATAGATAGTAGTAGCAGCGGCGGTAGTAGTAATGATCTAAACAAGAATCGGCACCCTTCGCGTTATAACAAGCTTTAGCTTATAGAGACTAGTAAGTGTTGCTGTTAGAGTTTCCCCTTTTCTAACAATTTGCTAACTAGGCGCAGTTCTTAAGGAAGTTTAGTTGACTATCGCGATTCTTTAGAGAATCATCTAGTGCTTAACTAATATTGGTCCGGAGCAGACTCCGCCTTAGCTACGTAACGTTAATATTAGGCATTTTATTACGAGCTAGGATAATGCTCGGCTGTTTCTAAGTATGCCTCTGCGTCTGCGTAAGGCGGCTAAGGCATTCAATTTAGGCTTAAAATCGAATGTTAACTACTTGCCTGCCGCGCTTGTATATACGGCTGCTACTAGACGCGTGTATACTAGTAACAGCTAGTGCGGTCCTTATAAGCAGTTAAAGGGTCCGTACTTAGAGTATGTAACTCTAAGTTATCGAATCAACGGTTAGGATATCGCTTTCCTAAAGGGCGCTTGTACTAACTGTGCTAGCCTAAATTATTATAGTCAATGCGAGTTCTCTAGTAAGTTGAATCTAGTCTTATATATTTTTTTTGAAGCAAAAACACTAATTCTTTTATTAGGTTACGTCTCTCGGCTACGCTCTAATACGAATCGTTAGACGCCTATAGCGCCTCTGCCGCCTCGCAATCCGGGGAGCAGAGCAGGCACTAATTAGCGTCGTCTGTACGTGCTAGTCCCGTCTAGCATCGATTAGAGTACTCCTTAGGGCGCCTAGGTAGTAGCAAATTTGCTACTATAGTAGGCAAATGCTTATACCTAGGCTGCTACTTAGGGACGTAGTCGTAGTCTAGGTTCTAGGTTGTTTACTAGTCCTAGCTCGACTCGTGATTCTAGTAGTCCTTAGAGGGGTTTCTCTAATTACGAAGACAGTAATGCTGAGATAGGTGGCTAATTAGGGAGATTCGGTTTTTTCTAGTAGACAGAGAGCTGTAATGTGTGTTTTCGATTTTGAAATAGGCTAGGCAGTCTAGATTAGTGAAAGCCTTGTAGTATTAGAGAGTTTCTAACTCTTAAGGGCTAGGGTATTTCTTCCTGCTTAGTCTCAATGTTGTTATAAAAGAAATTTTGCAGCTTAGACTGTATAGTACAGCTAGGCTGTTTCTAGAAATTAGAATGAAATTTAATGAGTATATAAAGCTTGTTTTCTAATCCTATAAATAAGATTTTTCTTTCCAAAGGAGTAACTTAGGAGTTTGTCCTAGAGACGCTGTATTATTAGAGAATTTTGTTTAGAGATTTAGGCTTAGTAAAACAGTCCGCTAGCTGTTTATCAGTAGTAACGAATTCGACACTAATCTTTCCCTAGGCATACTATTCTCTGCAGTAGTGGTTCCTAAGGGAAATATGCCTCGACCTCTTAGAATTTGTGTAGTCCTTAATAAGGGAAATAGCTGACTAGTTGTCTACCTAGATATGAATCCTGTTGACTTCTTCCCTAGTAAGTAGTTAAAGCTCAGTTATTAAATTTCGGAGCTAGCAGATTTCTCTGTATACTTCTATTAGAGCAATATATTCTGCTTTAGTGCTAGAGAGTACGACTTCCTTCTAGAGCTGTAATCTCTATATAATTGGAGTGTTGTTAAGAAGCATAAGGGCGCCTAATGTTAATCTTAATAATAAAGGGTTACTAGCAAAGTCTGCGTTAGAGTATGCCTAAAATTCTAAAGTTTTCTTCTTTCTAAAGATAAGTCCTTTGTTAACTGTGCTAGTAATGTACCTCTAGAGATGTTTAGTAGCTATAATATGCTTAGGTCCGGGATTCTAAAGGAACCTAGTAAGGTGGTTGACGGTATAGCTGATATCTAGTCTAGTTTAGTTAGCTAGAAACTGCATTTTACCAATTATAGTGTTAAATAGCTAGTAGTCCTAACGGTTATAGAGGGTTGTAAGAGGCTCGTAAAGCTTCTTAAGTAGATGCTTTATTGGCTTGTACTAGTCTAAGCTATGCTTCTGAAGCTTCTCTTTAGCATAGTGTATCTAGGAGATAGTAAGGTTTCCCTCCTTGTCTTCCTTTAGATAAAGGCCTAGAAACAGGTTAGACGTAATAATCTTAATTGTGTACTTCTTACGAAGACCTTCAATTAGAGCATCGATCTTTACCTTAGAGGTTCTAAAGATTTGGAAATTATCTATATAAAGGAGGACAAGAATACTATTACCTTGCTATAGGCAACAGTCACTCTTTGTCCTGCTTAGGCTAAGTTGACGAAGAGTGTCTAAAGTATTATAGTACTAGAGATTAGCAGCCTGCTTAAGGCTATACAATCCTTTTCTAACACGGATAATCTACTTTAGAGGGTGCTTCTTAAATAGGTGCGCGCCTTCTAGGGGTCTAATGAAAATCTCTTTGTCTAGAGGGGGATTTAAGAAAGCAGTCTCGATATCAACCTGTCTTCGCTTCTAGTTTTTGTTTACTGAAAGCTTAAGGACAAGTCTAGCAGTAGCTACTCTTAGTATAGGAGCATAGGTATTAACATAGTTAAGACCTTGCTTCTATATAAAGCCTCTAGCTGTCCATCTTGCCTTGTATTTATTAATAGAGCCGTCTAGCAGGTATTTGATCTTGAAAACCCATTTTCCTATTAGAGGTATTCTGCCTTTTAGCAGGGATTCGGCTAGAATCTACTCGATTATACTAGACTTTTCAAGAGACCTTATCTCTTTTATAACGGCTTTTCTCTATTTATCCTAGTTAGGCCTTTTTAGGGCTTCAGCTAGGGTTATTGGGTCAGCTAGCTTCTAAGCATCTTTTATAGCAGTAGCTATAGCAATCTTAGTAATCTTGCTATAGTTATGCTTAGCTACGGCTCTGCTAGACCTAAGTCGTACTTCGGCTTAAGGAGGGTTTAGCTAAGGTGGGTTAGGAGCCCTCTTTCTCTTACTAGTAGTCTTAGGGACTTAGAAGGGAGTAATTAGGGTGTCTTCTAGTTCAGTAGTATCTGTTTCTTAAGTGTACTGATTTTTCTTAGGAGCAGCTTCCTACTAGGCAGCTAGTAGTTCTAGTTGGTGATTTTAGAGTATTAGCTCATTAGCTGTAGGTATTAGCTGAGGTAGTATTCCTTGCTTAAGTGTACCTTACTCCCCCTAAGCTATAAGGGAGTCTTCCTAATCTTCCTAATTATAAGCCTGCTAAGGCTAAGGGATGCTACCTCTAAATAGCTCCCCCTAAGGTTCTAAAGAGTGCTGAAGTGTTTAGTCATTACTAGGGAATAGTGCTAGGATTCCTAACTCAAATAAAAGGTTAGACTGGGTTTCAAGTACCTAAATGGTCTCCTAAGGGACAGCTAGTCTTAAATACTCCCTCTAAGCTTAAAGGGTACTTAGAAGCTTAGTGAAATTGTCTTTATAGACAAAGTCCTCGTTGAAGGTAACGTATAGAGAGAATCTAATATTATACTGCTATACGCCATCCTTCTAGTACGGGTTCCAAAGCAGATAGTTTGTTAATGAATTTTCTTAGAATCTAATGAACTAGTAAACGAAAGCTCTTAGTGCAAATTTCTAGGAGTTAAGTCGTTTAACCCCGGATTCGAGGTATTTGAATGCCTTGTAGCCAAACCGTCTCGTCTTAGATAGGTTAATGTCTATACTGCCGATATTTAAGTCTAATTCGAAAGCCTTAAGTGGAACTTCCTTAGTTCTTAAGTTTACTAGTCTGTTAGTTAGGTAAATCGAATGCATTACTGCAAAGCACTAGCAGTACATTAGTAGGCTAGAGTTAATCATTATTGCTCTTACCTTAAGCAGAATCGTCTTATTTGACGACTCTGTAATGCTATTCTGCTCCGGTGTATATAGTGTAGATATATCCTATCTAATACTAACTTCCTCTGCAAAATGTACTAGATCGTTGTTAGTAAACTCTCCCCCGCTATTACTGAAGATAATCTTAGGGATTTTGTTATATTACCTCTTGATTCTAGCTATCCAGTTAGTTAGCTTGTTACTACTTGTTACCTTGTCTTTGTTTCGAAGTAACAGACCCTACCTGAGCCTAGTTTTAGCATTAGTTAGGATTATGATGTACCTGTTTCTAAACAGATCAAATAGTTGTACGCTAACAAGGTTAATATAGACTTCGTTAAGGGCTTTTTCTAGTCTGGTTCTGTGTTCTCTTAATATAACTCTTTGAGCTCTCGAGAGCTTATAGGTCTTATAGTGCTCGAGTTCAGATATATTAACTTCTTCTAGGCCTAGAATGGCTTCCTTAGTAGCTGTTAGGATCTTGTTGCCGACGTAGCTAAGTCTCTAATGCTATCTCAATGTGTCCGCTCGTAGTCTAGCGATAGCTAGGGCTAATAGCTGCCCTTTCTAACTCGATTCTAAGTTTGGTTTTAAAGCTAAGCCTAGCATTTTAACTTTAGCATCTTTAAGGGCGAGTACTCCTTGTACTTCCTTAACCTTTCTAATTGGCTTGCCTTTAAGCATTAAAGTGCTTAAAGGTCTATCTAAGTGAATACTACATTTCTTCTAAAGACGCTCTGCTAAGATTAGGTTGCAATCTAAGTTCGGGGAGTAGAGGACGTCTATTAGAGTGATTAGGGTTTTCTTTCCTTTATAGGTTAGGAGGATGTTAACAGTTCCTAATCGTAATATACTTAATTTTCCTACTGCTTAGGAGAACTGAATAGGCTTAGTTAGGTGCTTAAGATCGCTGAACTAGCTCTTGTTCCCTATAATGTGTAGTAATGTACCTGTATCCCAAACTTTTGTATTAGCTGTTAGGTTCTTAGAGCTTGCTGCAGCTAGTCCCGGCTTTGCAATAGCTCCCCTAATTAGGCCCCTACTAAGGCCGTCTAGCTAATAGTCTCCCTTATCTTCCGAGTTAGAGGAGGAGTCTGATTTATCTTTATTATTGTTAATAGTACTACTAGATTTGCCCTTTCCTTTGCCTTTACCCTTCTTGCCTTTGTCTTTGTCTTTGCTCTTGTCTTTCTTTCCCTAACTAGGTAGTGCTATATTAGGGTATTGCTTGTAGCACTTAGCGTTAGTGTGTTTATGCTTGCACTAAGTGCACTAGTCGTCATTATTGCTAATAGCCCCTCTAACAAGCTTTAAGCCGCTAGATAACTGTCTAGGAGGCTTTTCTCTCCTTAGGGACGTCATTATTGCTTTAAGGGAGGAGTCCTTAGCTTTAGGCTTATTATTATACTTCTAGGATCTGAGCTATTCGTAACTAGAAAGGCCCTAAATAAACAGTATCCTAATAAGCATGTTAGGCATCTTAATATCTAATAACTTTATAGGCGCTTCTATTGTTATAACTAAGCTAGCAAATTGTTCTGTCGATGTTTGGAATCTATTAAACTACTGCTAAAAAGATTCGCAGTACTGCTAGGTATTCGGATTAGTAAGGGGCATCCTAATGTGCCTAATGAGTTTAATGGTATCAAATATGTCTACGGTTATAATAGGCTTGTATAGAGCCTCAATGTAGTCGTATATATCCTTAGCTAACTTAGGTATATTACCGAAGTCTAGTCTAAGGGTAGGGTCGAGTCTAGCAATAAGTATGCCTAGGGCTTAGATGTCTTTCTTCTTCCAGTCCCTAAACATATCTCTATACTACTGATCGGCTAAGTCCCCTATAAACATGCTTTTCAGAGGTGGTTTTATTTCATTAGCCTAGTCAAGTCTATAGAATACTATACTAACTAGGTCCTTTTCTAGAAGGGCCGCCTAGAACATAAGCTTCCAGTCTTAGAAGTTAATCCCCTTCCTAAGAACCTAATTCTCCTTTACTGTCTTTGTCTAATTGGTGTCTATCGTTCCTAGCTGCCTTTTAGTATAGTGCTAGGTAGGGCTTATAAGGGACACTTGCTAGGTTTTAGTCCGAACTAGAGCTCTTAACTAGGTACCTAATAGGTCTAGATAGCTAGCTCTGTTTGGTAGACTCTAGAAACAGTTCTTTTATAGTTGAACTAGATAGGTGAGCGTATGCGCCGGGCTTATAACCTATTATAAATCGTGCTAAGGATGCAACTAATTATCGGATTAACAACTATGTAACTGTACGAAGAAGGATTAGGAGCCTACTACAGAAACTGCAGTTAATATACCTATTGTGTATCCTTCCTCTTGGCATAGGTCAGCTAATACTATCAGCTGACTAGTATATCACCTAACTGAACCACAACAAGCAGAAGGATCGAGTTTGCTAGATAACTATGGTTTTAGTGCACTATACTACATTCAGGCATAGAAGCGAGGGTTAAATGAGTATCCACTTTGGCCAGTTCAAGAAGTGTTATTTGGACACGATAACACACCACGATAACGACGACAACCGAACAGACCGCTGTTGTGGTGGTGGACAGCGTTATCTAAATAAAGTGGACCCACGACAACAGGACGACCGAACGGGACCCCATTCCTATCAAATTTCGGTTTCGGTTTCGCTATATGGTCCGCTTTTGATGATGACGATTGAGGCTATGCTATGCTATGCTGCTTCTCCTCCCTGCATTAGGCCCCGTCACGACAGGACATACTTGTCTCTCTCGATGCTTTTGTTGAGAGCTCTGCCTATTGTTTTTGAGATTAGATGGTCAGCGGTGAGTGCAGCTTCTGTTCTTGGTGAAAGCTTTCTGTTGTTGCAAAAGTGCCGGTGAGAGAGCCATCAAGTCTTGTCGAAGTATGTTATTTTTATTAGATACTAAATGGGGATGGGGAATCTGCGATCGAGAAGAAATGTGAGTAACGCAGGAGGATGAAGATGCAGCAGCATCGTGCACTCTCCTCAAGACTAGACGACCCGTGGCCACCGCCCACTCACCACTGTTACTACTCTTCAACGACTTCCATTCATACAACATGCTTTCGTTATAATTATACTATTACTACTCCTGTGCTGTATATTCCAGCGATCGTACATACATGATCCTCATATTTTTTCTTGTGTGTTGTGCTGTGAAGCATTCACTCATTAAGTCTTCGTGATTTTTCTTCTTCTATAGCAAACCTCATTCCTCGTCGTGTACGCAACTTCGAAACCACTCGGACCATGCCAGACTCCTCGCAAACCGACCCTCCTCCATATGTCTACTATCTCGAGCGGGAGGAGACTTATTTTCACGCGTTTGACAGGTATCCAGAATGAGAGATCTGGTTCTAGCTGTGACTGTCGTGTCGACATCTCGGAGGTCCGCTCGTATGTGTCGAGATTCTGGGTCCAGCGTCTAGTCGAAGGGCTTCCCGTCACTGTCCTCCTAGAAGGCCATCGTATGTGGTGATATTCTTGCCATTAGCATGGCACGATGTGATATTATTCAGTCATTGGGGCTGATCGGACTTTGTGACTGAGCTTGTCGCATTGCAATGATATTGAGCTGCGACAACGGCATTGGCTCCTGATCAGCCGGTGAAGTAGGCAATCCTCCACGGAAGCTCTTCACACTGCCGGGTCTGCTACGTATTATTGGCGAGAGCATCGGACTTGCCGGACGACTGCCTTGGCCCAGTAGTCTCGGACTTGTCAAAGCCACCTCCGGTGACACAATCTGTCCAGCATACGGAGAAGCAGTGATTATCGTGCCTGGAGATGTCAAAGGTGGAGGCGCCGGGCTTTCTGTTCGGAAGAGAGGGTGAATGTGGGATTCGTCTGCGCTGTTGTCGGGCGCACTTGATCTTCTTGGGATCGACATGGATCTCGGAAGGTTGCGCAAAGACCCTGTCTCGGATGAAGGTGAAGCCACTGGAGTATCCGCAGGAGATACCGGCTTACGCAATTCTTCTCCGTCGCCGGTGAAAGGTCCATTCAGTGGATGCGCGGGCGAAACCGGACGACTGCCGGGGATGGTCTCTAGTCGTGTTTTGGATCGAAAAGAATTGTCAAAATCGTCGTCCACTTTTGATGTATCCCAGTTCTCGAACTCGTCAGTGCTCCTCACAGCTTCCGTGGCAGCCTCGCCGGTTGAGTGGATTTCTCGTGCATCTCTCGTAGAGCACCAGGACGTGCCCAGTAGTAGACGAGTTCGAGATGTCATAGGTTTCAAGGCGTTGCTCGCTGAGTGCCTTAGCGAGGATCTCGGGCTGGACGTGAATGCAGACAGTGATGGAGATGTTGGCTCTTGATTCTGCTTGACACCAAAGAATTTTGGCGAGCTAGGCCCTAGCGATCCCAGATGGACGGCTATTGATTGGGGCTTCATGGAGTACGGCGACTGTCGTTCTTGGACGTGTACGGTGGGAACCTCGGATTGGCTTTTGGGCGTGCGAGGCCAGATGAGATAGTAGAATATTGATTGCGGCACCAATGCGATCAGTTCGATAGCAATGCCGGCTCCGGCGAGGTCGTGGGCCCTCGATTGATTAATGTTGTCTCCGAGGACATGATCGCGGGTCACATTCAAAGCTGAGACAAGCGCAACGAGACCTAGTATGGTAGCCACGAGGCATATTGACGCGCCAGATATCCAGGCTGAAAGGGTGGAGGCTCGTGAGGATCGCCGAAGGAAAAATGCCGTGGCTACGAGAAGCGTGATGATAGAGAGTATGTCGAATGCTGAAGCAGCTGCAGCAACAGGGAAGATGGATTGGCGGCGCAGAGACGTTGCAGTCAGTCGCGTAATGATGGCAGTCGTGGCGATCTTTGTTGAGCATGCCAGGCCGGCGGCTGCAAAGAAACTTAGCGTCGATCGATCGATATTGCGCGGTATCGATGCCATGGTGAGATGTAAGATTGCTGGGAGGCGTGAAGGAAGGAACACAGAGGTGGAGGTCGTCCTTTCATCAGGTGCTGGTCGTCGCTATCAGCTTGTCGACGTGGTTGTAGGGCGAATGCTTAGCATGGTGTCGTGAGTTGCTGCAGACGAGAATGTGTCGGCCATGAACGATGCAGTTGTCGACGTCGTTTACGAAAGCATCAACGCCATCCAATGCCGGCCCACCGCGTCGCGAAAACGGAGTGAGAGTTGTTTATGGCGCTGGCAAAGGCGGGAAAGGGAAGGGCTGCGGGCTGCGGTTTCTATGTGGTGCTTGATCCCGAAGCTTGATGTTGCACGACTTGAGCGCCAGCGCCAGGGCGTATCCTTGCACAAGAGGAACGAGATGCTTCGGAGAGGCGGCGACGGCGTGGGAAGCCGGTCTGGTGTCGCGATGTCGACGCTCTCGACGCTCGACAGCTGAAGTGTTGCACAACATGTGGAGTTTGGAAGCAGTCAGCTAACGCGAACATCACGCGTCTGGACATGGGTAGTATGAATAAAGTTGTTAAAATAGTCGCACGTGTACAAACCTTCTGAAATTGCTGTGAGGCGGATGTTTAGTGCTTTGCGTGCGCATCGTCAACAAGTGGTGAGGACGCTGCGTTATTGCAGCAGGCAATCCCAGTTGTGTGGTGCCTCACGACGCGCCAAAAAAAGCCACCACCCAAACGGTCGAGCAGTGGAGTCGGGCTCGCGTCGCCTCGCGTGCAGCGCAATAATAATACGGCAAGTGGGAATCGTGCAGCACGTTGTGTCGTGCTTGCATTATGCGCGTCTGATGAAATGGCAACAGCCTGCAGCAGTATACCGTCGTACGGGGAAGACTGTGCGTCCTTCCGCGCACATTCCCGGCGTTAGATACGCTATGATATCGGGCTACTCAGGTCTCTGAAAGTCCAACTAGTCGGCGGCACTGCGAGATCAAACCGGAAATCGGCGGTGTCCAGGCTCGGACAGAGGTATTCTACCGCAGGAAGTGCGACTGAAGCTGCTGTCAAACCATGCGACGTGGTATCGTTCGTCCAGAAGAGTTGCACCGTGTCGTACAGGACTCGACGCCATGCAGACCTGCTCTCCGAATGCGTTGGTCTGCCGACGGTCGCACAAGCATCGGTCGTGGCGTGGCGTGGCGTGGCGACCAGGCGCTTGATGAGATGACGAGAATGGTTGGGTTGCTGCTGCATTGCCAACGTGTTATAGATGGCGTGTGTAGGACAGGGAGGGCCATTATTATTGAATTGAGCGCTCAGCGGCCTGATTCGGGTACCACGCAGCGCTGCTGGATGACTTGGTCGCACGCGCATCTCCAGGCCGTCCGGACGATAGCGTCCATATTATGCCTCATCAATGGCCGACAAGGCGTGGTTGAGATGGCCCCAGTACCTGTGCAGTGTGCATGGTGTGTGCGAAGAAGCTTGGGCTTGCGACTCGCTGGACGAAGTTACCGCTCATTTCCGAGGAAATCGAGCTTGCTTGGCGTATTGATAGGGCAAACGTCATATGCATACAGTGATAGAAAGCTGAGTCGCCATTCAATCAATTATTGATGAAGCACGAAGCTCCTGTAATTAGGCACCTTTAGCAGAAGGTTTCAAATGGCAGTTGCGCACCGTGCACGCGGCAGTGGCACGCACTAGCGCCTTAACATGTGAATAAACTCCGTATAGTTATCCGTACGTAAAGGATTAAGTAAATAAAAGCATAGGTAACTATACGAGCTCGTATAGTTAACTGTATACGCTTATATAATCGCAAATACGCTAATTAGCCCCTACGCTAGGCCGTTAGTAGTTAAGTAAAGGAGTATACTAAGCGCTTAGCGTAGTAGCTTAAACCCTACCCTCGGCTTCTATTAAATTCCTCTACCGCTAGTATAGTACCTATTATATACGAGCTACTATATACCCCCTACCCGTATATATAATAGCGGAGAGTTTAGTAAGAGGTATATAAAGGTCGCCGGACGGCTGCTAAGGGTTATATAGGTCTAGTAGCCTATATATAATTACTCTAAGAGCCGTTATAGGAGGAGTTACGGAGATCTCGGAAGAGAGCGATATAATTAGAACTAGGTCCGTACCTTAAGAGAGGTATATATTTAGGCTTCCGAGAATACGTAGAGTATTTGGAAGCTTAGATTTGTTAGCAAATACCTCCTATTTAAAGCTTCTTAGTATTATAGCCGTTCCTATTACCCTAAGACCTACCCTACTACCTATTACCGCACTTCTCGATCTAAACTATAGCTTCTCGCGGAGCGATCTATACCCTCGCTTAGGTCCTTCCTTCTATACGCTACTAGCTATAGTCCGCGACTATAATAGTTAACCTACGCTATATAGTCTAACTATATTACTCGATAGTCTAATAACCTATCGCTTAGTAGCTAATTAGGTCTACGAAGTAAATATACTACTCGTTTCTACACTAGTCGAAGAGCCTATCTAGCCGCCTATCTAGCCGCCTATCTAGCCGCCTGTTTCTACGCTAGTATCTACGCTAATTAAGGAGCCTGTTTCTATGCTAAATAGCACTTGAATTAATAGTTAGACCGACAGTTAGACCGACAGTTAAACTTTAGTTAATTTAGGTCCTTCTTAAGACGACCTTATTGCCGCTACTATTGCTAAGGAATATAGCAATACTCGACTTAATAGTAATAGCTATATCTCGGCGGCTAGTAAGCTTACTCTTGCTAAGGTTAGCGCTACTACGGCTTATAAGCGAGTAACTAGCAAAGTGCGTAACTAGAATGCTAGCTTTAAGTCTATTATTACTACTACTTAGCTAACCGATAAGCCTCTTATTAGCGATCTAGTAAGGGCTTATCGTATAATAGTTAAGCGCCGAGTAGTTGCGAGAAGGCCTTTTAACGGAGCTTCCGGAGTTGTCGTAGTAGAGACCCTTTAAAACTAGCTTCTCGATAAGGCTATAAAGACACTATTTCGACTAGATAAAGTATAGCGTAAGAAGGTATTAAATACGAAGGAACTAAAGGCATTTAATAGTCCGGCCGAGAATATACGTAATACTATACTATCGACACTCTCTTAGCGTAGTAGTTAGGCTCCGGCTCTAGTAGTAACGGCTCTAGTAGCGGCTCTAGTAGCGGCTCTAGTAGCTGCTCTAATAACGCCTACTTAACGAGTAGAAGTTATCGACTTATCGACGCTATCTACGGTCGATAGCAATACCGCTTAGCTTACTAAGCGTCGTCGTTTAGACTTCGAGACTAAACGGCTCTAGCGTAGATTATAGGTATAAGGAGCTATACTAAAGGAGGTACTATCGCCTATATTTAATACTCTAAGAACACTCGCTAAGGGCCGTAGCTTAAGACGTAGAATTAGCTCGCTATTAGAGTCTTTAAGTGTCTCTATTATTAGCGCCGTTAGCGAGGCGCCGAGCATACTAAGTCCTACTAGCCGTACGAGAGATATAAGCGACTTGTCCGCCGTAATAAGCGCTATAGTAAGAGACGTTAAGCTAAAGATAGTACGTTAAATCGATACTGTCTAGTCTAGTATTTAGGCCCTATAAGTAACGATAACCGCTTTATTGCTATTAAGACCCTTACCTTTATTATAAATAGAGCTTCTTTCTAATAATATTATAGACAGTTAAGCGGACTCGCTAGACTACGACAACGATAGCGACGGCTTCGTAGACCTTAATACTATCGATAAGGATATATTCTCGTAGATAATTTAATCTCTTAGGGTTAGGGTTAGGGTTAGGGTTAGGGTAAGGATAAGGGTTAAGCTTAGGGTATTACAATTGTCGTATTCTTGTTGTCGAGAATGTTATAATTACTTAGTCGATATCTTCTTTTACGAGTACCTATTCGAAATTGTAGCTTCGTTCGATATAAGAGTACTAAGACCCTCTATATTTAGTAAAATCGTAGAGTCGGAGCTCGAATAGCGAACCCGTATCGACGGCTCTAAGGAACTCGTAAAATAGGGTAGGTATTATAGTATATAGCTCGAAGTAATGCGGAAAGCCGAGATTTTATCGCTTAGTAAGCAGGCTTCGACCTTCTACGACTCGCTACGTAATAACGTATTACTCGTTTTCGCTCGTTTTTAGACGATAAGACGCGCCGTATACTAAAGAATATAGCGTACGTAAGAATATATAAAATTAGTAATATTATTATTATATTTAAAGTCGCAAAGTATCTTATATAATATACTACGCGCTAGTGCGGGTATACCCGCGTCTACTACTTTCCTATATCTTCTACCTCTATCTCCTAATTTAATCTTCTCTCGTTATATTAATAACCTTAATCTCGTCCGTCTTATAGTCCGGTATAATCGTCCGACTATATCTAAACAAAGCGCTACTATCGAATACCTCGTCGCCTACTTAAAAGCCTACTCCGAAGTGCCTACTATAGCGTAGAAGGTCGTCGTTGCTAGTTAGAGCTATAGGCATTATAGGTAGGGGTAGTAGATTAGCGAGATATTCGCGCGTACTCGGAGGCTTTACCTTATATAGTCGACTAATCTTATTCTCGCTACGATAACAAGTAAGGCAATTAGTAAGTAATATAGCAACGATATATATCGCTCCGACTAGTATTAACTCGACTCGGAGCCTATAGAAGTACTTTATTAACTCGAAGTTATTAATAACCTCTATAGAGCCCTATTCGACTAACTAGTAGATAGTACTTATCTCCTTTATAGCCGTAGTCTCGTTAGTATTACGAAACTCGCTATTTACGGTCTTCTAGCTTTCTATAACCCTATTAGCGATATTATATACTTAATTACTATATAAGAATACCTGCTCTTTAAATAGTCGATATAGCTATCTAGGCGGCTCGAAATACGACTTCTAGACCTTATTAAATCTACTCTCTAGCATTAACGTTATATCGCTATAGAAGCTAGGTGCTAGGCTATATAGCAATATTATACTATCCGAAAGGACAATACCTTAATACTTAAGGCTATAGAAGTGCTTATAGCTATTATAGAATAGCCGCTAGTTACAAGTCGGTCTATAGCACTTCCGTAAGGTACTATCGATATAACTAAATATATACTTAATATCGATTAATCTAGCGATAGTAATAGCTATCCGCTATAGGTATTCTTTACTTAATCGATTAAAGTCCTATACTAATCGACCTTTCTAGCGCCTTACTAATTAAGTGCAAGTAGTATTAAATACGATAGACACCTAACCCTTACTACGACTAAATATCTAGTATAGGTTATACTAATAGCCTAGATTTAAGAGCCTTCTATATACTATATATAGTACTATTATTAGATCGTACCGTATACGGTTTAGTAGTTTAATAGACCTAATATCTAGCAATTTAGTTAATTCTAGTACCTATTACTTAGTAAAGCGGAAGTTACTTTAGAAGTTAGTATTAGAATATGTTTCTAGTAACTACTGCTTATCCTTTAGATACTCTCGCGGCTCTTTATATAGCCTATTATTACGAGCCTATCTATGCTAGTATTTACGCTTAGTCTTATTATCTCGGCGAATAGCTAGATCTAGTAGATTGTCTACCTTAGAAGCTAATATAGCTGCTATAGTTACTAATATTCTACCGTAAATAGCCGCTATATCTTCTTCGAGTTTACTATCCGTCGAGAAGCCGTCCGAGTCGTACTACGCTATAGTATACTATCGCAATTAACGTCTATTCTATAGTGCTAATTATAGTAAGGTCTACGACCCCGGTCGCTTCTTAGTACCTCCTTTGCTTACTAAGCAATCGTTTAGTAGACGCCACTAAAACCTACTACTAAACCTCAAATTGGCCGTTATTCTAGTTATTCACTTTCCGCCGCTAAAACGACGCTATTCGCGGCTTCTTACATATGAGAAACGGCCGGAAACCTACTGCTAAAGGTGCCTATTGAGAAGAGTGTGAATAGACAGGTGAAGGTGAAGGAGAGGTAAATGCTCCAGTAGACGTGGCAGTAACGAACTCGGCACTTGCGACTTGTGACCACCATCCTGCGCGAAACAACTCGTACTTTGCATATGCGTGCACTGCTCTCCTGTAACTACTGATCTCCCACCATGGCAATGACCATGGCTTTGCAACAGACCACACCTCCTCCAGCTCCGACCTGCCCATTCCTCGACCTCCCGTGCGAGCTGCGTCTCGAGATCTACTCATATGCCATTCTCGACTGCCGTCATATCACCATTGGCGTTGCGAAGCTTCAAGGTGCACCACACGATATAATACATCGCCAATATGGCGGCAGGCGATCGCCCTATCCAGCTATTCCACTCCACAGTGAGCCCGTCGTCGAGACGCGATACTGCCCTTCGCTCCTGGATGCAGTGCAGCCTGCCGCCATTATCTTGACGCCAGATACCGCCGATCCTCCCGAGGATACATATGAGCATACTCGAACGGCATACCATACACTTTCTGCTGTGAACAAGCAGGTCAATGAGGAATTGAAGACGCATTTTGCCATTCCAACCAGAAGGCACACCAGCCTCTTTGTGCAGTATCCGCACGGACTTCACATCCTGCATGAAACCACACCTCGACTACTACGACAGTCGAGAAGTGTCCACCTTGCGGGCACCTACATCCCCAGAAATTATTGCCCACCGCGTGCGGCGTCACTGGGTCGAGAAAACGCTCCAAATAAAGAGAGGCTGCAAGGCGATAAAGTGCCCGATCATGCAACAGAACTTGGCATTCTGGTAAAGTCCTGCTTCGGCTCTAGGGTTCAGCATCCCATCGAGAGGCTCGAGCTTCGTATCTACTATCCCGGAGAGGACTCTTACAGCACAGTCTGGGCCGGTAAGCGGCTTGACATTCATATCACTAGAACTCACACTGATAACTCACCAGACGACGATTCTCCTGTCTGCGTAGCACTGCGTAACATCCACCTTGGTGAAATTGCCATCGAAATATGGCGAGGGAGATATGGAACGGGTGTCTACCTCACAGCTACATCCGCCAAAGAGCGTAAAAGAGTCGTGAGCACAGTCTGGCGCAAGCTGGAAGAGGGCAGACGTGGTGAGCCAGCCTGCGGGAGCTTTGTCCTTGATACAAATTGGCCAGATTGGAGCGCCAACTACGAAGCGTCTGACGGGCCTAGAGGCGAAACCATTATTTCAGAGCCAGTAGCCTAGTCGTGGCCATGTCAGCAGAACATCCACCACCACACATCGCCGTGAAACCATTCGGCGAGATAGCTTTGGAGACCAAAACATCTTGGATATGGTCAATCACGGCACGAATATCCCAATCCAACATCATCACAGTGCTGAATCCAGATTTCCTCTTCCACAGGCCGCACTCCTAACGTGCTACCACACCAGGTGCCTGCGTAAACACGACTTCAGACAAAGTCCCATTCCCACAATCCCGAGGAGCTTCACTCCGCAACACAGCCTCGACACGCACAAACTGAACATCCGCAATCTCCACCACCGTCTCAAAACCTTTCCTCGGCACAGTCTCAATCTCAGAAATCGTTTCAATGCCTCCAGAGATTTTCCACGCCGCGACTTCCGTCGCTCCGTTCCAGCTGATGTAGACTCTCGTGCCTCGAGGTGCGGTCGAAGAGCCTATGTACTCTGCCCGAACGGCGGGCTTGGTCTTGGGACATCCGATCCATGCTTGCTTCCAGCCGCGATAGGAAAGTGTGCCTCGCGCGCCGGAGAAGAAGCCGCCACCTGGGCGTTTCGTTGCGTTGCCGAATTGGATAGTCGAGAGGATTTTGCCGTCTGCTGAGAACTCCTCCAAGACTGGGATCCAGCCGTGACCAGTGAAGTAATTCCCGTTCTCCATGCGCTGGAAATTTCCTTGCGCTGTAGGGAAAATTGGACCGGAGTGATTGAAATATTGAGCGAGGAGATTGACATGTTTCTTGTCGAGATCGATGTCCAGGATTTTGCCAGAAGCCGGGACGGTATTGTTGTCAAATGGGCAATTGTGGTTGTCGTGCATTCGTATCACCACGTTGCTGTCATTTGCCGACACGACTCTGATGTGGTGCTGGTATCGAAAGTCGGCGTCTTTGCCGAGCGTAAAGCCATTGCCGTGTATACCTTGGACACGCCATGAGACTTCGCCTGTCCTCGAGAGCGCGATTGCGCTGGCGAGGTATCGAGAGCTGAGGATGTAGCCGTCTCCGAGCGGTGCGACGGAGTTGATGTGAAAGTATCCCCACGCAGTGGCTTGGCTTTTGCCGTCTTGCTCGTCTGTTCCGAGAGGGTAGACGGAATCACTCAGAGGTAGAGTGTCTATGTGATCCAGACTCTTCCACGAAAAGAGAACATTGTTCGAGGCGATGTCGATCTCGTAGACTTGAGCCTCCACGACCCAGCCATCCACAGGACCACCGACAGAAGTCAGATCAGCTTCCGTGATGTTGTTTCCAAGCACAAGCATGGTGTTCTTCTCGGTAATATGCATCTCGTGCAAGTCGATATTGGAAGGATATCTGACACTCGCATTCATCTCCAGAAAGTTGCCGGGTAACGTGACATTCGCCACGGGCTCATAATGTTTATTGTAGAGCGTCACATAACCATGTCCACGTCCAATAGGTTCCTGAAAACTCGATCCATTCCAAGCCACGAGCACTTTTTCGCCTTTGTATTCTTGGGCCGCGAACCCGAATGCTTTGTAGTATTTCGGGCCATTCCAGATCACATCTCCAACCGAGTCTGCAACTATGGGCGCAACTTGGAATGCGGTGGCACCATTAGGGGCAAAGAAGAAGTAGCCGTCTGAACTGCTGTTGCCTGCGATCTCTAAGACTGGTGGTGTGAAATTGGCTGTTTTGAAGGTATGATATGGCCATGAAATGTTCTTGGAGGCATCGGCAGGTACGAGGTCACTGCGTACGATCTGTGGCACAGCCAAAAGCTGGACCAGGATTGAGAAGAGGAGAGGCATTGCGCTGTTCGCGCTCCTCCATTTTGTGTAGAATGAAACGAATCTGGTGTTGTCCTGCCTTCTCTGCCAAGACTGTGCTGCAGTCGCAGGCGCAACCTCGCCCAGCCCCTGCTCAATGAGCACACATGATCGTTCTTACGTCACCTTCAGCGCAATGCGCATGATGTTTGAAGTGATGTTGCGATAGTTATTGGATGTACTGTGTTACACGGAGGAAGGTGAGAGTAGGTGGATTGCTGGATCGTCGTTGGCCGCGAGGGTGACCTGATGGACTGGCGTTAATAGGAAAGAACACGACTTCTGGAGCCCGATTCAGTTTGTAATCATGACATTCCAGCGAACAAACGGGGGCCGCACTCGCTGGACATACTCAACTGCAGCTCCACCGTGGTCTAATATCCCGACAGGGAAATGTAACGCGAGATCAAATCACTATGCCGCAGCGAGCGGCAAAAAAGTAAGTCTTAGGCATAGGCTGCACTATTCAGAGTCTCTCCCGTACTGTATCACCCACGTAGTCGTCACATCGTACATCTCATTCACAATACTCAGACAGAAGTGCCATCTCATCCTCCGTCTTTCTCTTCTGGCGCATCATCGAATTGCTCGTGCTCGTCTTCGCTACTGAACTCATCCGACAGCTTACTCACGCCTGTCGGAACTTGTGTCAGAGGAGGTAGCACCGCAAGATGGTCCGAGTCTTCCAGACTGGTGCTACCGTCGTGGGACTTCGGAGGCTGTGGTGCGAGCTTCTGAGCCTCGTGTATATCGTTGATCTTCCTGGCATGGTCTTCCCATATATGTTGGTCCCAGAAGAGATACGAGCGGCCACCTTCCAGATGGAGCGGATTCTCCTCTGCCTGTCTCTTGCCCGAGCGCGAAAAATTTGGTGAGTTGGGATCTTGTACGCCATTTGCGTTCTCTTCAGACTTTCTGATTGGCGATGGAGACCGAACCATTACGTCTGCAGCCAGAGGATGAGCAGAGCGTACACTACCAGGCTTGTTGCTCCCGCCGCGGATTTCCAAGGAGTTTCGCGGCGACATGCTACGGCTGGACGCTTTGGTTGAACTTCGTGATGGTCCGTCACTGATACTAGGTGTGCTAGCAATGCCTTGCCTCCAGCTGAGGATCCGATCGCTAGGACCCACAGTGGACGTCGACTTCGGAGGCTCGCGCAGGCTACCAATACTATTCTTGGTTGCCAGAGAGCCGACGCGACCAGATTTACTTCCTCTCTTAGAGAAAAGCGAAGCTCGATCTGCGTCGTCTTTCAGTCGCTTCGACCATGCGCAGTCTTGGCGAAAGACCTTGATCTTGCCGGCGAAGTCTGCCGTGACAATGATGTTGCCCTCTTTGTGAGACGCTCGAGACATGAAAGCGGGAGACTCTCTTGGCTGGCTATAGAGCGATGGCGTTTGCTGTATGCTGCCGGCGCGACTTTGCGATCGTGAAGCCGAAGTCGTACTTTCAGCCTTCTCGGCTTGGCTGAGTAATGTGACTGGCGGCGGGTTGCAGAGGTCGTAGATTGGATCTTCGGACCTGCTAAGATGCTGTCGTGTTTTCGCTGGTGCTATGCATACGGCAGTCGTGATGGTGTTATGAGCCTCGAACATTTCCACTGGAGTTCTGTCTCTTCTCTCGCCTGGGCTTTGGTGCAAAGACCAGATATACGCTTTCCGATCTTCGCTGCCACAGGCAACATATCGTCCATCATCGCTCAGCATTGCTCGTATTTGGCTGCAGTTATTTTCATTGCCCTTGAACTTCAATTCTAGGCTCTTGTCGCGAAAATTGTACAATCTAATCCTTGAGTCGTTCGAAGTGATCAGTATTTTGAGCTCCCCAGTGGGGGCGTTGAACGCTTGGATGCCAGTGATCTTGCTGCCTTTTGCGTTCTGGCCTCTCGTGGATCGCACGTGGATCTGCGTTTGATACTTCAAGCCTTCCGTTTCAAAGAACATGCATAGTCCGGTCAGACAGCCTGCCATTGCATACTTGCCGTCCGGAGTAAATGCCACAGCTGTGATCATGTCCGGGACCTGTGCTGCAAAGGCTACGCTCTTGTCTGGTATGCTCCACAGCCGTAATTTAGAGTCCAGCGAGCCGGCCAAAAAGAAGCGATCGTCTTTCGGGTGAAACGATATCGAAGGAACGAAGTCGTTATGCTTGAATGTGCAAAGGCATTCGTTCCTGCTCACATGCCATAGTCGCACGGTCTTGTCCATAGAAGACGATAAGAGAAAGTTGTTCTTGCTCCAGCTCAAGTCTAGAATCGTCGACGTGTGCCCTTCGTACTCACGCACGGGCTTGCATTGGAACACTGGCGCACTCAAATGTCCAGAATCTGCACCCATGCCATTCGAATCGCTGTCACTTGACTCCTGGCGCTCATGTCTCTGTCGATCTTCCGGACAGCTCAACACTTGCCAGACGCGAACGATCATATCAGCACCAGCCGTCGCGAGGTACTTGCCATCGCGGCTGAACTCAATGGCCCATATCGTGCTGCCATCGTCGGCAGTCGCTGAACTCTTCCTGCGTAGCTTGTTTGTACTATTCCGCCGCGCCATGATATCCGGACGTTTACCACATGAAAGCTCCTGAGCAAGAAACACCCGGTCGAAGTCCTGAGGTTTCTTATACTTCGACCTGACCTTGATGTATGCGGGCGGAGGAGCATGTCTAGGGTTGTAGCCGATGCCTTCATTGTCCATGCTCTGCTTGAAGACCTCTGCATCGTTGCCCTCAGGCCTGCCGTCGCTTGTAGAAGAATCATCGTCGACAGGGTCGTCCCCGGTCTCGCGCTGCTTCTTCCCGCCCATGAGTCTGCTCAAGAAGGACACAGCCTTCACACCCTTCTTGAGATCCCGCCTGGCATCTCCTCCGATACTGCTGTCATTCGTGTTTGCTCTTGTGGGCGGCTCAAAGGTCGGCGGCGCACTCTTCTCATCCGCAGAGGAGCGATCATCTTTGTGCGCATGGCCTTCAGAGGTACGCGGTCGAGGCGAGTCACGGGGTGTGTTCAGGTGGAGCGGCGTGTTAGTGCGATTCAGGATGTGCTTTTGTAGCGACGCAGTCAGCATCGCTTAGCGAAGAATACGCAACAAACACGCAATACATAATACATAGCGAGCTCATACCTGTGATAAAGGATCGATTGCGGAAGGTGGGTGCTCCGACTGCTGTTTGCTGCCGTTCGCATCTTCCCGCGACAGCTGATTATTGCTCTGCGCGGCTTGCGCATTGCTTGAGATCGTTCTTATCAGTCGCCCTGGTGATGGCCAATTTGGCGAGCCCTCCGGCCGAGCTGTTGGGGAGCACAATCAGCATCGAGCTCCGCATTCCCTCGTCTTATCTCCTACCTCTGCCAGGTGCGATACGTCTATTCAGTTCTCCAAATGTATTGTCCTTGATCGGGGATTGTGCGGGAGAGGCGCTTGTGATCGCAATAGCAGGCAGGTCTGCCATGTTGTCGTAGGCCTATCAATCATCCAACTGCCTGCATTATACCCAATCATCGCCGCATTATCTCCAAGCCAGTCCCAACACGAAAAGAAAGTAAGAAAATAGTCCTCGAGGGACACAGCCAGAGAGCGATCGGCTTCGGAGAATGGTGGAGTTAGCAAAAGCTGTCACGTCGGGCTTGATCAAGATGGCTGTATGGCTGTAGTGATGGTCGGCCGTTCTTGGTAGCTGGCTGGACGCAATCTTAATTGATCGTGAATCTGTCTAAGTCGTACCCCAACAATCGCGATAGTCGGATATGCCTTGCGGCGGATTGAATGCGAGCTCCGCCGCAGGCCCCGGGCAACGTCAACGTCATACGGACGCCTCAGCCGGCTGAGGCTCACGCGCCGAAACGCGATGTGCCATGCTTCTAGAACTAGCAGCCACGCGATGCGATGCGTCTAATGTAGGTATCCGCGTGCAGCCGAAGAACACCATCAAGAAAAAAGATCATGTGGGAAAGGAAGAGAGATCACTCCGAAGAGAATTGGGATGAGATCTGCCAAGACTCTTCTCATCGGAGACGTTTGAGATTCCGTACCGAGTAGCTGGAAGGGCAGGGTTCTTGTGCAGATACGTCTTGATTTAAAATGTTTCGAGCAGTCACTTATCCAGAGCGTCTATTAACGCTGTCACTGTAGTGCCTCTGTAGCTTTCCATGTAAAATGAGAAGTGAGCAAAGGTATCATCCATCCATCAAAACGCCGCTTCCCATGCTCGTCCGTGAGTTGTGTCCAGAAACGCCAGCCGCAAATGCATAAATTATTTAGAAGTCTTCGTCGAAGGCAAAATCACCCTTCATTACGGGTGCAGCGACACCCTCCTCAGCCTCCTTCTTGGCCTGTTGCTTCTTGATGCCCTCCATGACACCAGCTTTCTGGTAGTCACCAACGCGCTTCTCGAAAAAGTTGGTCTTGCCGCCAAGAGAAATGTTCTCCATGAAGTCGAATGGGTTGGTGGCGTTGTAAAACTTCTGGTTGCCGAGTGCCAACAACAGACGATCCGCGACAAACTCAATGTACTGGCACATGAGCTTAGCATTCATGCCGAGGAGCATGACCGGGAGCGCATCGGTGAGGAATTCCTGCTCAATCGCGACAGCTTCGACGATGATGCTCTGCACGAGTGATGCGTCTGGCTTGTTCTTGAGGTGGGAGAAGAGCAGGCATGCGAAGTCTGTGTGCATGCCCTCGTCTCGCGAGATCAACTCATTCGAGAATGTGAGACCGGCCATGAGACCACGCTTCTTCAACCAGAAGATGGACGCGAATGATCCAGAGAAGAAGATACCCTCGACAGCTGCAAAGGCGATCAATCGGCACGCAAATGTCGAGTTCTTGTCAGAGATCCATCGCAATGCCCAGTCAGCCTTCTTACGGATACATGGGATGTTGTCGATGGCGTTGAACAGATATGATCGCTGCTTGGGTTCGCTGATGTAGGTGTCGATAAGCAGGGAGTATGTTTCCGAGTGGATGTTCTCCATCATGATCTGGAATCCATAAAAGCATCGTGCTTCGGGTATTTGTACTTCAGAGCTAAAGCGCTCCACCAGGTTCTCGTTAACGATGCCATCAGATGCGGCGAAGAAAGCAAGAACATGTGAGATGAAGTATCGCTCATCATCGTTCAATCTCTTGTTCCAATCGTGAAGATCCTTGGACAGATCAATCTCCTCAGCTGTCCAGAAGGATGCTTCGGCCTTCTTGTACATCTGCCATATCTGCAGCCCCTCGTTAGCGTGCTTCTCTTTGCACTTTACGCGCCTGGACGCGTGTCGCGACAGCTTCTCATACCTCGTGATACTTGATTGGAAACAGCACGAATCTCTGTGGGTTCTCCTGCAATATCGGTTCGATGGCCTCCTCTTCCTTGATAGTTGAGGCTACTGATGTAGCTGCAACAGACTTTTCTGGCTCGTCAGGCAGGTCTGGTATGCCCTTGATTGGAACAGCGACTTCATCGGACTCGTATTTCGACTGTATGCGGTTCTCCTTGTCGGCTTCTGAGAAGGTGACCTTCTTCACTGGTGATTCCATCTTGAGGCTCTCGAGAGCAGAAGCTGCCTGGAGAAGAGTTAGAGACAGTCAGGGTCGTGGCGAGGACGTCATGGACGAACCTTCTTAGATGGCGTAGTTTGCACGCTCATTGTGGTGTTGTATATGTATGCTGAGTGTGATGACGTTGAAGAAGGACAATGGGCGTGGCGAGCAAGATGCTGTCGATGTAGCGTGTTGGTAGACAAAGAGCAAGACGAGGTACTTAAGCAGAAAGCGCGACACGCGAGTGGGCAGGCGCGCTGGTCAATGCATTTTTGTTTGCCAAGCTTTCACGCGTCTCTACGCGATTTCGAGAGGCTGGGATACTGAAACTCGCGACCTCGGCCTACGCCATTACGAAAAATGTCTAGAATCATTCGATTCTGATGTCAGTTGCCATCGCGATCTCGCAGACGTTCCACCGTGCGTGTGGAAGCTTGCCGTGGTGCCTAATGTGCGGATACCTGCAGTGTGCAGCCTTGAGCATACACATTCAATGGAGCCAACTCATCTCATCAATATGCACGACGTCTTGATCTGTCTGCATCGCATAGCTTTATGGAAGGCATACCGGAATTCCAGGCAACAACGGCTCAAAAGCAGCGCAATGTGCAATGCATCCTATTATATTGGTATTCCTGCTGAGCGACGAGCTCAGGCTACATACGCCGCCAAGTTGCTGCATACCGCCAGATTGACCAGAGCTTATGGGTATCATTACATGTCCATCATGGTATCGTCTCCTCCATCGCCCGTTTCCTGTTCTCTAACCTCCCCTCTACCTCTGCCTTCGAGCAGCTCCCTTCGAACCTCCGGTCCAATCTGCTTGTGTCCTCGCACCAGCAAGAGATCAAGCAGTGCCTCTCGCTGGTCCTCGGTAATCTCGTTCTTGTATCGCTGAGCAAATGCTAGAAGTGACTGATGCCAAAGGACGGGGAGTTTGGGATCTGCTGCACCTTTCTTTCCAGGGAAAGCGTGGCCATTGCCATCCATATTTACATCGTCACTTCCATCCTGCATAGCGCGGAATCGCAGGAAATGGAAGACCAGTGCATCCACAACTCGGAACGGCAAAGCGTACTTCTTTTCAAGAAGTGTTCGAATGAAGATGTTACAAGCTCCGGCAGACTCGGCATCATGCATCATCTGCTCAGCAGCAATTTCGCACAACCTGTAAAGCGCTGTAGCAGAATGTAGGACTGGAATCGACACTCGGGCAAGTACCGAGCTGATGATCTGAGCTTCTCGCAGTGAGCATGTACCGGATCCAACGAGCGGAAACAGAAGGCCTCTGAAAAATGCGGCTGGCTTGTACAGTGCTTTCTTCAAAGCCTTGTAGAGATGCACATTGAGTTTTCGCGTCTCACGAATGTCCTCCCGGACACAGGGAAGCAGGACGTCGGAGCAGAAAGCCTGTGCGACAGCCGGTCGAGAAGATGTGAAAATCTTGGTTGCTTCGTAGACCGCATTCGGCGTCCAGCTATCGGGTCTCGTAATAGAGATGAGCACATCCCATTGTGGAAGAGTCGGTAGAATCTTGAAAGGCTTCGGTAGTTTGCCACTCTTGTATCGTGACAATAGCAGACCAACTTGTGTGTATACCTCCACAACTTTCGCTGGCAGCTCCACAGCGTCCTCAGGATCGCCTCCGCCTTGTATCTGTGGCAAGCCGTCTAGCTCTCCTCTTTGCTGGGCTTCGTGTGCTTGGATCTTCTCCAGAATTAGATCTGCAAGGTTCGTTCCCGGTCCTTGTGCTTCTTCATCATCTTCACCACTCTTTGGATTCAGTAAAGTTGAGGGATCGAATTCCGGATTGAATTTGTTGAACATCTCGAGGTCGTTCGGGTCCACCTCGATCTCTTCTACTTCCTCTTCTTCTGATCCCCATGCTTCCTCGTCATCGTACTCGCCAACCTCCGCCCCACTTTCTTCATCCTCATCATCTATGGGAAATCTGCTCTCGAATGCGAATGCTGTGTTTTGTGCGGTGGCCGGTCGTTTTGATTGCTGCTCTGCCTCTTCTTCTGCCGCAAGGTCTTGACCCAGATCCAAGATCCTCCGCGATGCCTTGCTGTCTACATATCCTCCTTTGTCATTCTCATTAATGGACTTTCGCTTCTTTCCTGCTTTCTGCTTGAGTGGGGCGGTCGGGGAATATTCTTCGCTGAGGGGATTATGGCGGCGGTCCTGGCGGGAAACTGTATTTAATCTGGCTGCTTTAGGCATCTTCGAGGGTATGCGCTTTGAAGGCTGTTGCCTGTGCTTAGGTCGAAAAGCAGAAGTAATTCGCAGGGCCACAACTTTTCGATGAAGCTAAATTTTGGGCAGGGTCCTGTTCGGATCTCGGCAGCGGCACCACCACACGCAACCTTGCAGCTGGCAAGCAAGCATGACAGGGTCTTGGAAGTTTGTAGCGCGTTATCGCGAGTTGAAGGAAGCCGAAAGCACTCACCAACATCTGTTTACAATAATCTTTCCGCCATGGCCGACTCAGCACCGCAGTCGCATGGTGCGACACCTCTTCAGGCAGTCATGGACCAAGAGCATGCACCCAGCATATCCTCGCCTCTCAACCCTTCCACCATCTCACGGCAGGCATCACGAACGCCAGCTCCCATCCAGCGAGAACAACGAGAGAAGAAAGAGTCGCTCAAGATGCGTGAGAGCAAGCAAGGGAATGAGAAGGCCACATCTTCGAATAGCACTTTGGGCAAGCGGAAAGCCAGTGCTGTGCAGACATATCCATCACCGCAACGGTTCAATGTCCCTCCACCCAAGGCGCAAGATTTCGAAGAGCCCAAAGACGATGTCATGATGGCGCATGAGCCATTCCCTCTTACTATGCCCAACTCTGAACGACAGCTCTACAAGCCGATTGATCTTGCGGAGAATAAGAGAGGATACCGCTATTCGCGCGCCATCGCAGATCCACACTTTCCACACAAACAGCTATATCGATCAACCTCACCACCACCACATTATGCACGACTCAGTTTTGAAGATGCTGACAAGTGGATGCACTTCACCACAAATGCTTTGATCACGACTAATGAGAAGGGTTGGCGCATGGTTAGGTCAAATGTGTGCGCAAGGGAAGGCTCGTTGTATTATGAAATCAAGATTCACAGAGGTGTGCCGCCGGAAGGGCCAGACCCGACGGTCAATGGACCACAGCCACATGTTCGGTTTGGATGGGCGAGGAGAGAAGCACCACTAGATGCTCCAGTTGGTTTTGATGGGTACAGCTATGGCATTACTGACATCCGATTCGAAACCATGCACCGCAGCAGACCCGGGAAATTTTTCAACGCCAAGAAATCAAAATCAAAAGCCGTCAAGGCAGTACCAACGACGATCACACTAGCTCCAGAAGACCAGAACGTCAAAGAAGGCGACGTGATTGGTGTCGAAATCCAGCTTCCCTCCTTGACATTACACCGCAAAGTCGTCGAAGGGGTGTACAATCCCGCTGTGGACTCTGGTGACGGCTTTGACCAGAGCCATCACCAAGATGCAGACACTCAGCCACCAGATGTCATTCGCGATCGTATTCCAGTCTCGTACAAGGGCAACAGCTACTTCGAAGTATTGGATCATGTTGCGTCGAAACCAATGGAGATCTATGCCGATAGAACGACAAATCTCAACCATTTACCCACGAATGGACCAAGCTCCAATAAAGAGAGCATCAAAACTGCGCCTGGCCCGCACAACGAATATCCTTCGTTGAGAACACTACCGCACAGCGCCATCAGGGTTTACAAAAATGGCAAGCTGATTGGCACTGCTTTCGAGAACCTGCTCGCATTCTTGCCTCCTGCTTCTGCACCAAGCAAGACGATGGGTGCCCGAGAAGGGTTTGATGATGGACTAGTGGGATATTTCCCGGCCGTGTCGTGTTTCTGGGGTGGCATAGCTGAAGTCAACTTTGGTGACGGCGCTCAAGGATTCTGGTGCCCTCCAGCTCATTTACAGAACACCAAGAATGCTTCGCGGCGCGCAGGGCAAGGGTCCGATATCGAAATGCCGGATGCGGGAGTCGATGCAAGTGGTCAGAAAGCGGGTTGGAACTCGGGACGGCAATTGAGAGGAGTTGGCGAGCGATACAAGGAGCAGATTGCGGAGGATGTGGTATGGGATGTGATTGATGAGGTGGACTTTTTCATTCAGGACGGTGCATTCGAGAGTAGTGGAGTAGGAGGTGAGGGTGTCAGTCGGAATGGCAGTCGACTGAAAGATGAAGACTAGTGATCTTGCAAATTTGCACCAAGCAGACCTGCATGCGGTCACACGAAGGTCCTCGTCCGCCTCGCAGCAATTCCAGAACCTTGACCACACACTCTCTCTCACTCCCACGTTACACACTTGATGGCCATTAAAATTGCTGAAGACATCCTTGAGCGGGCTATGAGAGCGAGGATGTAGTCATGACGATCACTCTGAAGTGAGGACTTGGGCCTCACTTTCACATGAATCGCTCCTTCCGAACGCTTCCAACGCCGCGGGGCCGCGCCAACGGCCGCTGCAGACTGTTTATAAACATCACCTCTCGATCAACTCAAGCTGTACTGAACACGCGAGCTCGTCAGCACCGCCATGGAAGACGAATACGCTCAGCGCTTTGCCGCTGCTGCTGGTAAGTGATCGATTCCTACTCAGCACTTTGGACCCTAACCATTACCAGACTCATTGCCGGTGCCACCTCACCTGCGCAAACGCGCGATCAAGCCTGACACGGAGACGAGCCCAACAGTTGCTCAAACTACACCAGGCGCTCCTTCCCCCGAGAAGACCACGACCGAGCGCGCGATCACTATGGGTGATCATTTCCTCTCCAACCCGAATAACAATTCTGCGGGTTCCACTAGCGCAACACCTGCCTCGTCATTCACGACATATAATCAAGACTTCCTGAAACAGGTCGGTGTGAAATGTGCCAACAAGCTTCCTCCAGCAAGCGCTATTCAAGCAATGTTTCTCTATGAGATGCAACGCCAGACTGAGGCTGAAAAGCTCTTCCACGCTCAGATGTTCGAGCTCGCCAAGGCAGAGGACCATACCCATGCGCAGGACCGCCGCATCGCTGAACTTGAGACTCGCATGGCTCAGCTGGAGCGGAGGATGGCTGCTCGCGACGTGGACGAGCGTATCGCGACCTCAAATGTCCGCCTCAATGCACACCAAGAGAAGCTTAACGCCTGCTCTGGTCGCTTGGGTTGGGCTGAGCAGAAGCTCGCTACGGTCGATCAGCTGCTGGCTGACTTGAAGAAGAGCCAAGAGGATGCTGCTGCGGCTGCTGTGGCTGCTGCCTCTACTCCAGCAATCACAGTGTCTAACACCTACAACGAAGATGTGGCGACTATGAAGGAGGAGGTCAATATCCTGTTCGACGATCGTGACGGAATCATCAGCATGATCAAGGAGGTCAAGGAGAATGTCGCGCGCCTCGACAGCAACATCAAGCAGCTCACCATTCAGCGTAGCTCTACAAACAGCTCACCAGCCAGCACGCATCGCATACCTATCAAGAACCAGAACGGCGAATTGATCGAGCTGAGTGTTCCCAAGGGAAGCTCTTTCGGCATCAAGGAGAATCGCGGTCCTGTTCAGAGCTTCCAGCCTGGTAAGCCGTGGGGCGTCTAGGAAGCGGGTAGAATAAGTTGCTCACCTAGGATGTGTATACTCGAAGGAAGTTTTAGAAGATAGGGTGGGCCCACAGAAGTTGCCACTGTTCTGAGGTGTTATGCCTGGTGAGAAATGTACCAAAGTGAAGTTCTAGCAATACCAACTTGCTTTAACATACGTCGATCTCCTTACCTATAAGACCACTTTCGACATTCGTTCGATGTTTGTTTTAGTCTACCACGTGCTGAGCTTTCTCGAGGTGAGGTTTCGTCAAGCTCTCGTGACATTAACCGGGTTTCGATGTCAGCAAGCGTCAGTACCTGACATTCTGAGCTGGGGTGTTTCATGCAGCTCGGGGCATTTCTTGCTTCCTCCGATAGACGCGTCTGCCATTGTCACGTGTTGATGATACATTACAGTACATGACCCAGGAGGTGGGAAGTTTGTGCTCACGCGCAATTATCCGTGGAACAGGGACAGATGAAGTGTACTTGACACACGCCCTGCATCCCGGGACAATTTCACGCGGAGAATCTTGTCTGGCGGAGTGAGGGGGCTGTCATGACCAGCAGATGGAGGACGTGATGGACGCATATCAAAGGGAACAGGCATATCGATGTGAGTGGTTTGGTGGATGTTTATAGCAGATGCGGCGGAGTTGGCAGTGGAGAGAAATACGTAAGGCTTGGACGATGTGAAACCTGGTGCTCCGTCCGGCGCCCGGGCGCTAGACTCGAGTGAGTGATGAAACGACAAGGGGTCATCGCTAGCTCGGGCAGGCCAGGCCAGTATGTCTCTGGAATTATTGTGAAGACGACGTGGTTGAGGGCACGCGCATGGCGCACGCTCATTCACCTAACTTATCATACCAAGAGTCACAGGCTGCTAGAAACTGAAGCTGCGGACGCGCAATCGCAACTGCAAAAGTGCCTCGATCGACGCCCAGACGCAGAGTGCCAGACCGTTGCAATTGGAATCTCCAGGCCAGCCACATCACGAAAGGCACCTGCGATCCTCGATCCGCCTGCAGTCAGAGTCTCAGTCTCTCAGACTTCGCGCGCGAGACCGACAGACCCTTCTAATTCCTCACGCGCATCAGGTTCCATATCAAACACCTCCGAATCACGACAGACGGCCACCTCCCTGCCATGCTGCCGACAACGCTCATTTCCACGTAAAGCCTGCTTCGACAGCGTGACACCAGCAGGAAGCCTATCGCTCGCTGTTCCACCGCCAGCATGACTCGACCCAACATTCTGCGCGCTGACACCCTCGACCTGCAAGACCAAGACAGCCCCTCCGCCCAAGAACACACCAAGCACCCGCAGTCCAACTCCAACGCGCCCCACGTCCAGGAGAAGCTGCACCACGTTTTGGAGGAACGTCATTCCGAGGAACAAGCACTCGCAGACGCCTGGCAGATCACCTCCACCCTGGCTGAAGACGCAATCACTACGAATCCCGCGCAGGGAAATGGCACGACGCAGGAAAACGCGACGAATGGAGGCTCGCACGAAGGGGAGGAAGATGCGGAGGGAGGAGAGGACGGTGACGATGACATGACCGACAGGATATCCAGCTCGCCGAGCATCGACGATGGTGGGTACTATCAGTCTTCTTGCCCTCCCACCATGCTGTTGCGCAACAAGATTTGGCCCGACCGCTCGTCCAGCTTGTCGCCCGAAGCATCAACCCCAACTCCAACTCGCGAATCTTTCAACCAGATCGCAGCAGACACCACTCCGGACTCGTCTCCATTTTCTACCACGCCTCAGCACATGCCGTTGCGTTTGAAATTGGTAGAGAGGAATTGCTCTCCGTTGCTCTTGCAGCAGGCTGCCATTTCTTCTCCCTTTGACGAGCCGCCGAGGTGTTCTCCTTACAAGCTCGCTCGCAGGAGTGGCATTAACATTACAGCGTCGAATCATCATCAAATGGGTAGGTATGGCCAGATCACTGGATCGGCGCTGGAAAACGATACAGGAATATCAGGAGGAGACGAAGGGCCGCCTGCAATCAATGCCTACCAGACCGCGCACACAGCCGAACACGAATTGCAGCAGGAGGAGCCAGGCCGCAGTCCTATCTCGAGCCCATTCCGACAACATTTCTTCATGCGAACACTCGGAGATCTGCAACACAAGTCTCTCGAGGAATCGCCAAGTCTGTCCAGTATCGACAGCGTCGACTTGGAGTCCGTTCTTCTCCCTGTTGACGATCCACTTTTGGGCACGCCCCTCTCGCCGGATGGATCCACTGCTTCCTGGGAAAGCATTCCAGACTCTCTGCTGGACTCCCGCGGGTCTCAGGACGACCTCGGAGACGATGATGAACATGACGCTTTCTTTGATCTTGATGATCGTTTTATTGACACCGGTTGGGGTGGTGAGTGCTTACAAGATGCAGAAGATATTGATTTCGAATTTGTCTACGCACTGCACACATTTGTGGCCACGGTCGAAGGTCAGGCCAATGCCACAAAAGGCGACACAATGGTATTGCTAGATGACAGCAATAGCTATTGGTGGCTGGTCAGAGTTGTCAAAGATAGCAGTATTGGTATGTGAATGTATCTTGAACTTGCAAAGAGACATATCTGATGTGCTTAGGATACCTTCCCGCCGAGCACATCGAAACGCCTACAGAACGACTTGCGCGGTTGAACAAGCACCGGAATATTGACGTGTGTTTGCTGACTCGTGATTATCATGCATCTGCTAACAAGAAGATCAGCTTTCCGCTACAATGCTTAGTGACAATTCTGAGAAGTCGAGAAATCCGCTAAAGAAGGCCATGCGCCGACGCAACGCAAAGACAGTTCAATTCGCTGCACCGACTTATGTTGAGGCTTCTGATTATGACTACTCCACTGAAGACGAAGAGCAGATGATCGAGCCGTATGGCGACGAGAAGACGACTGAAGATGGCAAACAGGAAGAGTTGCAAGGGGAGCCTGAAGAAGCGAAGAAGGCCGAGCCAGTACATCCAGAAGCCGAACGAAGATCAAGCACTGGCTCTAATCGTGCCTCGTTCGATCGTGAACAGGCGGCTACCGCCGCTCAGGCACTGACAGATGCTGGACTGACCGGCGATGGACCCAAGCTTGCTGACAAGACTGGTGAGTATGGATATGATGTTGATGCGATCAGCCCACCAACCGTCTCGGTAGAAGCTGCACCACTCAAGTCGAAGCGAACTCGGAACACAGACTCCTTCCTCAAGGATGAGAGCATCGAGACCAGAAAAATCACCCTCACGCCTGGTCTCCTTCGCGAAGAAAATGCATCCACCAAATCGCCTTCTTCCGATAGCACGCGAAGTAACAGTCTCGATGTCATCACCAAGACCTTATCTCCTGCAGAACCGCAGCCTCCTCCGTTGTCGAAGAAGGAAGCCAAGAAGAAGGAGAAGGAAGATAAGCCCAAGAAGGAGAAGGAAGAGAAGCCCAAGAAGGGTGGTATGCTGAGCGGCCTCTTCAAGAGCAAGAAGAAGGACAAGAAGTCTAAGGAGGAATCTAGCGAGGCCGACTCGGAGAAAGCTTCTACAGAGTTGCAGAGAGAATCGCCGAGGGCGTCACCGCTGCTTAGCGGCACCAACTCACCTATTGACAAGAGCGCTATCAGTGCTCCAATGGCTCTGAAGAACGATAGACAGCAGGCTGCCCCCGAAGAAACGAGTCGCGACTCATCGAAGGAGTCGAGCGAAGGCTTTGTTGCAGAGCTCGAAGGTTCGGCTGTCGCACACGAGATGGACACTCCAGACCAGGAGGATAGCGAAGCACAACACAAGATTGACGCTCAGATGGCACAGCAGACGCAACAGGCACAGCAAGAGAAGGGCGGTCTAAGCGCCATCACTAATATGCTCAAGCCTGCAGACAAGGAGAGCAAGCCCCAAAAAGCGAAACGTTCTAAAGAGCGCGTGCCGATGGACGATTTCGACACACCACCGGACGCTAAGGACGACCCAATGGACGAGGCTGACTCATCACAAGAACGTGGTGGACGTCTGTCTGAGAGTCCGGTGGAAATCTCGACCGATACGTTTATGCATGGTACTGAGTCGATTCACATCCCTATGCCTGGTGCGCTACCTGAGGAGACGGACGATGATGACGAGGAGCCCGAAAGTCTTACAAGTTCGCCGAGCATCATCGAGCATCCCGCGGAACCGATCGAAGAGGAGGTTGAGCTTGTCGAAGACAACGACCCAACACCAACGGCACGCTCTCCACAGCCATTTTCGCAAGAACAGTCCAAGCCTGTGTCCGTGCAATCAAGACGTGGTCTTTCTACTGATAGCAGTACCACCTCATCTTCTTCATCAGCACGACCTTCGCCTAGGCCTTCACCCACAGTGTCTCAGCAAGCCTGGAGCGACGACTGTCTCAAAGCTTGGCTGGAGGACGGTAGCGAAGTGCGCGATATGCTCGTCATGATTCATGACAAGAGCGGCATCAAAGCTGCGCCTGCTGACCATCCTCTCATGGCAGACTTGTTCGTCGAGCAGCGGAAAGGCGTTCAAAACATGATGGGTCAGCTGGACGGCCTCCTTGGGTCTTATTTGAAGCGGAAGGGCGTTTCATTCTAGGCTATCATCAGCTTCGCATTTGTCTTGATAGCAGCATTGCAGGCATTGCTATTTGTTTCTTATGTTAGCGACGACACATTCCGGCGCGGACAAGTTGCTGGATCATGATGGGCAAGAATTGGAAGGAGTGATTATGGAACGGATACCATTTTGTTTGTCTTTGTCAGACGCACTCTATCATGTACATATCAGGACACAGCACAGCGGTATGTGGTATCCGCGAAGAGTTCGAACCGGAATCCGACAAGGACGGATAATGTTGCTGGGAGAGGGCGACGCAGCGGACAGTCGCTCAAATTAAAACCGATTGAGAGAGATTGAGAGCCCGTGTTTCTGCATCATCATGCTTCTGGTACTGTATCGCAGCGCGTGGGACCCGAAGGATCATTGCCTGAAGCTGTGTGTTGGCAGCAACTTGGTTACCATATCCAGCATAGCGTCAGCGTGCTGATTGTCCCGTCTACTGACTATACCAGGCTAGATCATGTGCGAGCTCCTTCGCACACCGCATGTATATGGACAGCATTGCGAACTGATTGGCACAGTCGACATGCAAACATGCGGAGATATCACGTCCTCCGAATCGATCACTATCTGCTCCAAGGATAAAAATACTCAGTTCATCGCAAACCAATCTCAATCAACAGCATCAACTCAACTATCGATTCCACGACACAACAAACATCAAAATGTCAGGCCCCTCATCTTCTTCGGCAGACGACTTCATCCTCTCCCTCCCTCCCTGGTCCGGCAGCAGATTCACCTACCCGCACATCAACCACTCCGTCCCACCCTCTCTCGATCCTTCAAAGAACCTTCTCCCACAACCTTTCACTGCAATCGTCACAGGCGCTTCCCGAGGCATTGGCGCAGCAACAGCAAAATGTTTAGCTCGAGCAGGAGCCACAGGCCTAATAATCACCGCTCGCAAACTTGAATCTCTTTCCAAAACCAAAGAAGAACTGGAAGAAATTTCCAAAGAAATAAAAGTAGTAGCGATAGCAGCTGATAACGCACAAGAAACTTCCGCGATAGAAATTAAAGAACTGGTCGAGAAGGAGTTTGACGGGAAACTAGATCTCCTCATCAACAACGCAGGAATCGTAAGCACCAACGAAACGGCTTTCAAACCTCTCCACGAAATGGATTCTTCACAATTCGAAATTCCTATCACGACAAACCTTTTCGGAAGATTTTATATGATCAAACATCTCCTCCCTTGCTTGCTATCCTCTCCCCGTCCCACGAAATCCATCATCAACATCTCCTCCGTAGGCGGCAACATCTCTGGTCCCCTCGCCTTCTCCCTCTCAGCGCTCGCTACAAACCGTCTATCCCAACGCGTCGCGGAGAGTTATGGAAAGGATGGGGTTTTTTGTGTGGCGGTTCATCCTGGTGCTGTGCTTCCCAAGGACGAGGATATTCCTCCTGGGTTTCCTGAGAGTGTGAAGGAGTGGAGTCAGGATGAGCCGGGGCTTTGTGGGAGTTTTATTGTTGATTTGGTGAGGAGGGAGTGGGAGGAGAGGGAATGGTTGAATGGGAGGTATTTGGATGTCACGTGGGATATGGAGGAACTTTATAAGAAGAAAGAGGAGGTGGTGGAGGGGGATAAGTTGAGGGTTAAGTTGGTTGTTTGAAAGTTTCGTAGGAGAGGAAGGGCTTTTTGGATTCATTCATTTTTTGAAGATATATATTTTTTTTTTCGCTCACGACCATCGCCCTCCTCTTCCCCAACCCTCACCCCTGTTTCCAAAGCGACCCCAACCCCAACCCCAGCCTGACCATTGCCAATCCTTAGCAAGACTTGCTGTTGTGCAAGTGGTTGACGCTTTTGGCTTTGAAGTCGTCGTAACTTTATTTGTGCTCGTTGTCGCAGCCTTAGATATAGAAGTCGATGTTGGCTTCTTAGTGCTGATCGCGGTAGGAGTTGGGAGAAGCGTGCCCGACTTTGTCGCTATGGTCGGCTTCGAGGTGGTAGGAGGGTTGCTTGTCGATGGCTTGACGGACGAGCTTGAGATTCGGCTCGTCGTAGAAGAACTGGCTTTCGATGTAAGGCTCGACGATCCTGTCAGAGTCGCATTGCCTCCAGCTGCAATGGGCGTGATCGTGGCATTCGTGCCATTACCGACTGGCTGTTCTTCCTGCAACAGCTGAATGCTCTGCCATTTCCCACTCTGGTTTGTCCAGTTGTATGCAGCAGCAGGATACATATTCTGAATCGAAACTTTCCTCACATACATGGTGTACGGACCTCCTGTCACATCTGTCGTTCCTCCAGCCCAACTCTTGGTTCCAGAATTCTGGCCTGGGTCTCCGCCTGCCCAGATCCCAAGCTGGAATTTAGAAGGTGTCTGAGGATACTGGTAGTTGCCCTTGTCTCCAGAAGACGAGGCGTAGGTATATGTCCGAAGAAGCTTGCCGTCAAGCAACCAATTCAGCCGCTCTGGAGTCCAGTCGACAGAGTATGTGTGGAATGTTTCTTGAGGATTTGAAACGTCAAAATACTGTCCTCGATCATAGTTACCCGTGAGACCTTTGCCGAAATAGTTGTTCTGGCCTTTTCCGGCAGCCCATTCAGCTTTTCCTGTAATGTCTCATTAGCGTCGACCAGCAAAGGACATTGCTCGACTCACCAAAGTTATTGCCCGAGAATTCGAAATCGATCTCATCGAAATCATCACTCATGAGCACTGCACTGGATATCATTCCTGTGCCATTTGCGATCCTAAGCTCGACATCTACACGTCCGAATAGGATGAAGAAGTTGGTCCACAGCTGCGGTGCATCGTATCTTTTGTTGTACGTGAATTCGGCACCTAGCTCGCCAAAATTGATCGTAGCATAGTTGGAAATGGTCCAGTCGTCTGGTATGTCTGTCTGCTGCGTGAAGTCAATAGTATAGCTGGACTGAGCTAGACCAGGATTCGGTGCACAGGACCCAGTGGCGTTCTTGATGGGATTGCAAGGCCAAAATTGGCCATCCGCGCGTTGGGCGACAGCTGTGCCGGTCAGCTGGAGTGTGATAACCGCAATACTTCTTAGCATGAAGTTGTTCGGCATTGCGGCTTATGACTGTCGGTCTTCCATGCTGTGGAATGCTATGCCGCATAGTTGGCAATATGATGCTACTAACAAAGGACTCTCTGGCAGATGCTCTGCCTCTGGTTTCGGAAGGAGGATACAAAGACCACAATGCAGGATTGATCGTCGTGGTGCGTGAATGAAGCAAGAAATGCTTCTCTACTTCCAACTTCCGTGACATTTTAGGCGGCTCGATCGATACAGCGGACATTGTAACACCAGGAACGAAGAGGCCATCTACCACTGCATTCTCCTAGGCCCATTTCGCGCGGCAAGACATCGTGTGAAGCGTACATGCAGGTGGTGAAAGGAACTTGAAGTGTTGAGCCTCAGGCAAGCGCCAAGCCCATGCTCTGCCACTCGCTCCGCGTTGCGTTTGCGTTTCTCGAAGGTTCTCGGCTGTTACTCCATCAACAACACCACCTCGCCTCGCCGACTCACGATGTCTCTGCAGAGCATGCTTAGCACGTGCACATGGCGTCCCTGCATGGCACCACGATCCAGGCCACTGCTTCGAGGCCAATGCTCGCCAAGGAACCAGAAGAGGAGAAGAGGGCATTGGCAATGACGCCGACACGTCAAGCCAAGTCTGTTCGCGAGCGACTGTACCATAAAACGTAGAAACAGAAGCAATATGATGTCGGCGGCAATCGGCGGAGCAGCAGAAATCCTGCCCTCGCATGGACAGTGAGCGATCATGAGACTTTGAAGGCATATATAGCCTCAAGTCGTCGCCCGGGAGATGCAACGTACAGAGCCCAGCGCTGTACAGCTGAGAAAGTTCTCGGTACTTCAGCCCGGCCGGAAAGCGAGGTTCAGGGAACGCAGCGAGATTGTCAGTCTGCAGGGGTGAGCATCGATTGCTTCACTTTTCCTCCTCTTGGTATCCAGCGCAGAGGTAGTGTCTCACGATGATAGCATTTGGAATACTGATCACAGCACTCGTGCCGTTTGCTTTAGCACTCTACCGGAACGGCTCGGTGACAGCACCGTGCGAATCACCTTTGTATTGTCGTGGCGAGATATTGAAGCAGATTCAGCTTGCTGGGGCATTCGAGGACAGCAAGACGTATGTTGACCTACCGACGATTCGACCATTGAACGAAGTTCTCGAAGCATTCGAAAATCTCAAAAAACCACTTTCGAACAACACCGAGCTGCAGCAATTTCTAAGCACCTACTTCGGAAAAGCCGGCAGCGAGCTTAAGGAGCTGGATCCAAATTCGTTTCAGACTAATCCAACTTTTCTTGAGAATGTCAACGATACCAATATCCGAAGCTTCATAAGCCAAGTCATAGACATCTGGCCTAACCTGACACGCTCTTACGCAGGCGGTGGGAATTGCTCAGAATGTGTAAGCTCTTTCATACCTCTCAACCGCACGTTTGTGGTTGCAGGTGGACGCTTTCGAGAGCCCTACTATTGGGATAGCTACTGGATTCTGCAAGGTCTGCTTCGCACAAGGGGCTCATTTACTGAGATCGCGCGGAATATCATCGAAAACTTCCTGGATCTGATTGACGAATTCGGGTTCGTCCCCAATGGAGCTAGGCAGTATTATCTGAACCGGTCACAGCCTCCAGTTTTGACTGAGATGGTAAAGGCATACGTCGGCTACACCAAGAGCACATCGATATTGGAACGCGCGCTCCCAATATTGGAGAAGGAGTATGCCTTTTGGACGACCAATCGCAGCGTTGATGTAGAAGTCAATGGGACCTCATATCGACTGAGCCATTACGCTGTTGAAAACAATCAACCTCGGCCAGAGAGCTATGTTGAAGATTACCACACTGCCACGAACCAGTCCTACTTTGCCGCGTCCGGTATCATTTATCCGGCCACGCCACTGAACTCTTCTCAGCTCGATGTACTGTACAGCGACTTGGCTTCTGGCGCCGAGAGTGGATGGGACTACTCTTCTCGATGGATCGCCAATGTCAACGATGCTATCCAAGGTATTTATTTTCCTCTTCGTAGCCTGAACACTATCAACATCGTCCCGGTCGATCTCAACAGTATTTTGTACGCCAATGAGATTGCCATAGCAGAGTTTCACAACATGACCGGCAACGCTACTGCCGCGGCCTCCTGGGCAGAACGTGCCGCAGTCCGATCTGCTGCCATGGCCGCAGTTCTCTGGAGCGAAGAGCACTGGAGCTACTTCGACTACAATCTCACCTCCCAAGCACTCAACATGTATATACCTGTTGATGCCGACGCGAATGCCACGGAGACCCGCGATGCCCCAAAGGGCATGCAAGTCTTTGAACACATCGCACAGTTCTATCCGTTCTGGACCGGTGCTGCTCCAGACTACCTCAAGAATAATCCTTCAGCAATCTTGCGAGCCTTTGCGCCTATAGAAAGGCAGCTCGAGCGTTTCCGCGGAGCGCCTCCAGCTACAAATCTCAAGACCGGCCAACAGTGGGATGAACCCAACGTCTGGCCTCCGCATGTGTACATCCTCATCGCCGGTCTCCTCAATACTCCTGCAACTTTCGGACCCGATGACCCTTCGTACATGCGCAGTCAGTCGCTGGCTCTCGAAATTGCTCAACGATACCTTGATAGCACATTCTGTACTTGGAGAACTTCAGGCGGCGCAACACCCGACTTGCCTAAACTTAGTACAGTGCATCCTGAAGAAGATTTTGGTGGTGCGATCTTTGAGAAGTACAATTCTACTGATATCTTGACTTATGGTGGTGGTGGGGAGTATGATGTACAGCTGGGCTTTGGGTGGAGTAATGGTGTGCTGATTTGGATTGGAGACTTGTTTGGGCGGGAACTAAAATTACCTGAGTGTGAGAGGCAGTTGGAAGGTGGATTGGATTCGAATGCAATGAGGAGCAAGAGTGACGAGTTGAGGAAGAGAGATGCGGGATGGAGGATGGCTGGACATTAGGCATGAGCTCTATATAAGCCGAACGATCATACAATACATCGCTGTAGAAGCTCATCGACAGGATCCTGCTCAAGTGCCATGTCCTCGTCAATCTCTTATTGTTCAGCATCTTAGTCGTATGGAGAGCTCTACTTTCATTTGATGATGGGAACACGAGTGGTAGCAACACGTACATTCATTACGGTGCTACTTACAGAACTTTCGCAACAATGACAATAGATGCCGAGCTGGCGACGGCAAGGATCGAAAGGAGACACGAAGGCCTGGCAATTCGAAACGGATAGCAAGGAAATGATTACAAAGGAAAGAAAAAGCGAACGACGATGATGTATGCTGTGGTGCCTTGGCAGAATCAGCAAACAAATGGTTTCCATCACGAAACTCAACTTTGGTAGCAACATCGATGCCGAAGCAAAGAATGCTAGTGTGACTTGATTAAGGTCAAGGATGACAGCAAAGTAGATGCAGAAGCTGTCAACACGCATTCTGTGCTCTGGAGCCGGCTGGTCTGCTCTGGAAATGGCTGCAAGTTGTCGATGGGAGTGAAGATCTTACCATTGAAGAGACTCGGATTATTACATGGATCAGGGTGCTGATAGTTGAGGCCTTGCAGACTGTCGAGCCTGCGGAGCTGGCGTTGCACGACGACGTCGATGTTCAACAACTGCCGACGAACGCACTTGGCATGGCCATTCTCAAGATTTGGGCGAAGACATTCTCTGCCAACAATATGTGGCCGATCATTGAGCTTGTCGCCAACAGTCTGGCGAGCTTGGCTGATATAGGAATGCTGAGCTCTCATGCGTCTTTGCAAAGCTGAAATGCTGGCTGCAATTCTGAGACTGTGGAGTTATGGAAGCAGAGGTGAACGGTTATGAGAGAAATTTTGATTCATTTGTTCTGCTGAGTGTCAACGTTTCTGGCCCAAAATATCGTCGTTATCATGATTACGCACGTATTATAATGCGGACTACATTTTGAGTAAGCTCAACAAGCTCGCTCGTGTAGGCATCTCGCTGCTTGCGGTTCTCAATGCGCTCCTGGCGCTTTTCGCGTGTCTCGGCCTTGCGGCGCTTGATTTCAGCATACAAAGCAGTGATGTCGACTTCGTCTTGTTTGATCGCCGCCTCAAGCTCTGTGTGGCGGTCTTCGATCTGTCAATAGCTGCTGTCAGTGAAGACTTTCATGGCTAGAGGCTAACATGAAACCTACCGCAGGAACGTCAACATTCCTTAATTGCTCCAATGAGCAGGCCAGACAGGCGTGTCGGGTATCCAATGCAGCTGGGCGAAAGTCATGCCCGCACTTCAGGCGCTTCGGTGGCGCCACCTGCTTGGTTTCTTCACTCGGTCTCGTATCTTCGGCTTCGACCTCAGTCGATGTGGCATTCATGGTCGGTGTCGTGATCTCGGTCGGGAGTATGGGCGTCTCGGGGTTGTCTTCTAGTAGTCGGTCGTCATGTATTTCTTCGCGGTGGGTGGTCGTTGGTGGGTAATCATGTTCGTTGCTGAGGCGTACGCCGCCCTCGTCGTCTGAATTGCAGGCCATGTTGTTGCACAGATCTCGGAAGTGTGTGTGTGTGTGTGGGTGGGTGATGTTTGGGTGGAAGGGCGAGAGAGCGACTCAATAGTCACGAAATTTAGTGTCCCCGTTAGCCGAATTTTCGCATCAAACGTCCAAGCGTTAGGCTGGTCACACTTGACGGCAAGAGCTCATGACAGTGCACGATTTTCAATACATATTTGCGCGAAGAGATGAATGCATTAAGACTACTTACAGCTAAATGGATATGCAAGATGCCGAACGCAGGCAAAATGCTATGTCAGAGGTGGGCCAAAAGCAGTGCTCTGGGCAAGGCATGGCGACTACGGTGACTATCGGTGCCATTCTCCGGCGCCGTGTTTGCATGCTTCGAAGGTGACAGTGACCTAGGCCAAGCTGTCGCTCCGATTAGCATGTTTAGCAAATAGCAGGAAGATGACAGTGATCAAGATCTCATGACGAGAAACAAGTCAGGCTGTTAGGTTCTCTGGACTAAATGCTGGGTGAACACCGGCTCTAGCTGGAGGGAATACATCGAATCCGACCAGTTCGGCGTTCTGACAATACAGCTTCGAGAGAGCGCTCTTGCTCTGGTGTCGAGAAAATCGAGGTTGGATCCGCGGCGTTCCGGCAGAGCGACGTCGGTCCAGATCGTGAGTGAGTTCATTGCAGAGGCTCACCGAAGCTGGGTGGCTGGAATGCTCTCGCCAAGGGCTTCCAGTAACTCACGCCAAGCGTCTTCTTCGTCATCAAGTTCTCGCTGCTGCTGCGCGCGTTGTTCGAAAGCGGCCTGCAGTTGCAAAAGTTTGGGTTCTAGCAATGATATGTTCAATTGGAGCTTTTCAAGTTCGAGTTGGTTTAACTGGTTGAGCGTCTCAGTGGTTTTCTTTTCGTTTTCGATATATGCGGCTTCGTCGAGCGCATCGGCAATACGCTTAGGGCTCGAGTCAGCAAGCCGTTTGCAACTTCTCTCAGTATTGTCAACTTACAGTCACGGTTTCCAGCTGTGCGTTATAAAATTCTTCCGTCTTCTTCATGTTGAGTGGTACTTGTCGCATTAGCATACCACCTCTCTCGGAGTTGCGGTACTTCGACCAGGCAACGGGGTCTTGTTCATTATCCGCAGATGTGACTGATAGCCCAGCTTGTGCGTGGTTAAAGCCGCCGTATGTTGAGTATCCATTGCAAATCTGGGTGCCAACGCACTCCCCAATCGCTGCCTGCTCTCCATCCATGATGTCAAATAATATGAATTGGTGAAGCTTGAAACCTCTTCCACTCCATAGGTGTCTCAACACGAGAACGGAGAGTCTCATGATCAGTGGTGAGCTGTCTTGTAGGTTTGCATGCTTGGGTAGTCGCTCGTATCCTCGAATGGACCAGCCGATTTCGAACTTCGGTATGATGTGATCGCAGCCTTCGTCTTCTGCTGCCTGCATCAAGTCAGTCGCCAAAACTCTTTCGAAGCCAACAGTCGTAACGTCTTCCAAACAACACTCGAATGGATGGTGTGATCAGAGTCGTTGACGGGTAGACGAAGGTAGGCTTTATCAGGGGGTGCTTACCTTGAGAATCTTTCGGTTTTCAGATACAAACTCGTTCACGTGCTTTTGAACATCGGCTGCGTCGACAAGCGCGAAAAATGACAAATTTCGGGCTGTTTTGGGCATGTAAATCGCGTCGACACCTGTTCTTACGCTTCGACCGTCTCGGTAGAATTTGTGCTGCTGATCTTCGGTGATGCCACCAGCGACCTCCATAGCATCGAGGAATTCGGCGAATTCGGCTCTGGTGAGACCACATCCTTGTCTGTCTGCGAGACAGTTGACATAGATTACTGGGTCGATGGGGTTTCCTGGTTGTGTATTCGATCCATCTCGCAGGTCTTGGCCGAAGCCCTGCTCGTGGAGCGCTCGCTGTGGCAGCGTCATGTCAATCACGCTTCGGAGCGTTTCTCGCAGTCTCTGTGCCAGCAGGAATACTGCATGCGGTCGCCATGACATCTCTGGTCGGATGGCGGAGTTCTTGTAGTCGATCGATTTCGTAGCCTGCACAAAAAGTCAGCAGATGGCCTTCAAGAACACGAGTCCTTGCGCATGACAACGGATTTGAGGCCGAATGCTCAGATGCGACGCAGAGTTGGAGATGCTTCACCACTCTCTCGGACAGGACTTACTTCAAGTTCAGCCACGATGTCAAGAAGGCTAAGGTAGTCGTAGTTTTCCAGGCATTCGAGCATTCGCTTCTGATTCTCTGATATGTATGCGGGTCGGATTTCGCGAGGGCGGTGATCGCTCGTTCTCATGTCAAGGCGAGCGCGATCCATTTTGTGCGTGGAACGTTGGAGAGTGTGGGTGTGGGTGTGGGTGAGGGTGTTCTCTCAGCACGACGACGCGACGATCGGCGGGAAGTCGCGCTAGCCAACGTTCCCGCGCGTTGTGCTTTCCTGCTACAGGACTGTGAAAGTTTGGACATCCAAAACCACAACACAAAATGCCACCACGCCGGAGAGCGCACCAGCCTCACCTGCTGGATGCCTTGACTGGAGTGGCTAACATTGTGAAGTTGAAACAAGAGATTAAGAACATTGGGTAAGATATCCCATGTTGAGGAGGCTCTGTACTGACGGGCACAGTGACCGACTCCAAGGACAAATCGCACCAGAGATTCGTCCAGGAGAAAAAACCGAAGCCCATGAACAAAGAGTGTTTACCAACCAGATCAGCAAGACTCTTCGAAATTCAAACCGAGACATAGAATTCCTGCACAAGCGCGCAGATGAGCTCGATGGCGACTTGAGCCTTGTGCCGAGCAATCAGGAGAGAGCTGACGAAATCCGAGCCACGCGGCGGGCGGTTCTGAAATATTTGAATCGGACCACCTGCCATGCGACACCAGATGAGCTAGATGGGTTCGAAAACCTCCAGCAAGGAGCATACCAAGGTTTGACTTCTTGTCGCTCCACGAAATGTGTTTACTGATCGAATCTAGGTCCTCGCTCTGCAGAATTAAGACCGAATGATACCGTTTCTCTTCATGAAATGCAGAGGATCCTTGAGTCGAATGTGAACAAGACGAGTTGGAATATAGACGAATGCTTCGCCAAGTTGCGAGAGTACCACCTTCGAATCACTGCACGCAACAGATCTGTGCTTGAGCTTGACGTGGTCAAGCAGTTGGCAGAGTCCCGAAAAGGCACCATTGAGGTGCATGAGAAGACGATCCAAGACAACCAGAACGCGCTGCAGGCTCTTGAGGAGACCAATGCGAATTTAGTGCGTATGGCGGAACTTTCTGTCACTGCCGAAGAGCACCAGAATATGACGACCAGGCTGAATGAGCAGCACCAGGCCGAATTGCAAGACACCAAAAAGCGCATGAATAGAGAGAAGGAGCGAGCCTTAGATGACCAGCGTCATACGCACGCCGGCGAGATGGTAAATAATCTCCACTTCCATTCAGTCCGGTGCCGCACCCATACTAACGTGTGAAAGGACGCCGAGTTTTTCAGATCCGAGGGAGAGCGGAATGCCATCAGCGACGAACTCTCGACCCTACAAGCTGAGCTTCAGGGTGCACTGCGCCAGATTGAGCTTGACCATGATATGATCCAAGGCCTTCGGAGAGAGAACGAGATGCAGCACCAGCAGAATACAACCACGAATGCTTCAAACAAGATCATGGAAGATTACCTCCGAAACGAGCTTTCTCTAGCTCGGACTGCCACCACTGAAGAGCGACAGCGGGGAGATCATCTGCGAGAGATGCTGCAAGCTTCGACAGATAATGCTCGTACTAACGAGAAGGAGGTTGAGATTTTGAAACTCAAACTTGATCAGATATCCAAGAATGGGGAGACCGAGAGAGAGTATCGCGAGAAGGAGTTCAGCGACCTCCGGGACACGCTCAGAACCAAGGAAACCCGTCTCCAAGGCCTGGAGGGGGTTGAGAAGCGGTTCGAAGACCTTCAGAACCGAGAGATTCCAAAACTGAAACAAGAAATCCAATTTATGAATTTCGACAAGGAGCGTCTCGAGAAGACGAACCAGAAGCTCGAGCAGACGAAGACCGATCTCCAGAAGGCCATAAACACATTGGAGAGCAACGAGGCCCGTTCGGATATGGAAATGAAGATACTGCAGAGGCGGATCGATGACCTTGAACCCAAGGAAGCAGCATGCGAAGATTTCCAGAGGCAGCGCGAACAACTCCAGGGCGCGCATGATGAACGAGAGAATGCTTTGAAGGAGCAGTTGAGCCAACTCCGAGACAGCCATACGAACCAACAAAAGAAACAGATCGAAGACTTCCAAAGGGAGCGTCAAGCTTTGACGCAAACTCATGAGGAGCAGATGGAAGGACTCCGCCGCCAGTGTGCGGCCGAAATTGACACCCTTAAGCAGCAGATGAATAACGAGAGAGCCGACTATAAAGTCGTCAAGAGCAATCTCGAGCAGCAGATTGCAGGACTCCGCCGCCAGTATACGACCGAAATTGACACCCTTCAGCAGCAGATAAATGACGAGCGAGCCGACCATGAAGTCGTTAAGAGCAATCTCGAGCAGCAGATTGCAGGACTCCGCCGCCAGTGTGCGGCCGAAATTGACACCCTTCAGCAGCAGATAAATAACAAGCGAGCCGACTATGAAGTCGTCAAGAGCAATCTCGAGCAGCAGATTACAGGACTCCGCCGCCAGTATACGGCCGAAATTGACACCCTTAAGCAGCAGATAAATGACAAGCGAGCCGACCATGAAGTCGTTAAGAGCAATCTCGAGCAGCAGATTGCAGAACTCCGTACCCAGGTTGAGGCCGGACAGACAGCTCTCGGCGATGAACAAGCCGCGAAGGCGTCTCTGATCATTGCTTTGCTGCAGCTGATGGACAATCCGGAGATTCCAGGTAAGTTGCCACGCAAGTCCAGTTTGCTTGATTTCAAGCTGATCGAGTAGCAGAAGAGACCCCAACAATGATGGAGAATCTCACGACAGCATATCCTGCTCCGGCGTCGGATATGTTGATTCAAGAGAACGTCTACAGCATTGATAATGAGCACATGCTGGCATGGGACATCACACTGTTCTCGCCATCCAGCTCCGATACTTGGAAGCATGGCTTCCTTCCGACAATTGCACATGAAATGTGCATCGCGGCCTGCATCGAGAAGCAACCTGACCGAATACTGGCATTGTGCGAGCTTTTTACATGTGCTCTCCGCATGCAAAAGATACCAGTTGACGACGATTCCAAACAGGCGATTTTGAAACTCCCACAGATCTTATTGCAAAAAGAAATCGAAGAGGCCGATTCCAGGAAACTGGCACTTGCGACAATGCGCGCGATAGAATTGGTCCTTCGCCTCCGAATTCCAATTTCGATTCAAGATCTTCAAAAGACATGGCAGAAGATCGAGCAGAAATTCAAGCCAGCAGATCGTGGAGACCCACTCCTCCACGGCCTGTCTCAGTGGATACACATGGCGGCATTTGAGCCCACCAAGCCCAGAGCCTCTTAGATATCATGGGACAACTCGAATCGTACGACATCATGCGAGGGATTGGAAGATACCAGATCCACATGGGCACGACAGGTCCGGTCGTTACCGACTTTGAAAACCAGATGATCGCCGACTTTGCGTATAATGAAGTGGATGTGGATTCCTACGGGTGGTCAGCGGACATATTGATACTACTCAATTCAGAGCGGAGATATCAAGACACTCCGTCGTGGTGGCCAGGATTACGGTTCCAGCAGTGCCCAGCCAACCGTCGGCTGCTCAGGAATCATCTAGGTGATGCAATGGACCGTAATTGGGAGAGAGCAAAAAAAATCGCAAAGAATCCGACACCTCTTGAGCTTCCGCCTTGGCTACGACATCGTCGTGCGGGTGGAGATGATCAGTCATGAAGTGACTTATTTCCAGCAATCACCTCTGCCACTAGCTTGCTTTGCATCTTCTGGCAAGTGATTCATGTCTACCATGCTCTGCCACCAGCTTGCTTTTGCATCTTCTGGCAAGTAACTGGTGTCTACCACGCTCTGCCACCAGTTTGCTTTCGCTTTGCTTTCGCATCTTCTGGCAAGGGATGATTGGTGTCTGCCAAACTCCGCCATCTGCTTTGCCTCGGCATCTTTTGGCGGAACCACACTTCATCTCAGCTGATGCCACCTGCTTGCTTCGGCATCTTCTGGCTTTGAATCGAGTAATTTCGAAGTGATCTCTCTTCACAGCATTCCACATGGCTTTGCTTTGATATTGTATGGGACGTGACGTTCGCATTTTTTGTGGTCTTCTCATGCTTGCGAAGTTCTATCCCACGCTGCGCCACTCTTTGCGCGGAACTTGGCCACCATGAGCTATGGCACTCTCGCTGGGGTCTTTCCACGCTTGCCCAGCACGTCTGTCCATTCTGCCCATCGCTGGCCGATAATGTCCTTTTTGCCAAACTATTGGTCTGGCGGTTCGCCGATCATCGTCGATGGCATCAACATATCAGACGGCCTGTAGAATAGCTGAAGCAATTACATCTCAAATTCATCCGCCCCTCTCAAGTTCTGTCCTTTCCAAAGCTCTTGTTGCAGCCATATCTCGCAAGTCCCTTTTCTCTGTTTTTGCTGTCTTTCCACAATTACCGGTGCAACTTTCAACATAAAGCCTTCCAGATGTTTACGATAGGGCAGTATCGGCGTTCGCGTCGGCGACACTTTCTTGATATAGCGAGCTCAATCGACGTGGGTGCTGGGAGCGTTTTGTGAGGAGAGGTTGCCTTTCCGCTGAAAGAGCAATGCCAAGGGGAAGTCGGTCCGACCTCCGCATCATCATCCACCACTGCGCTTCACCCTACCACACTTACATGTACATGTAGTTTACATGCGCTTTTTACTCGATAAATTTCAAATCTACATTACTCGTTCCTGTTAGACATGAAAGTTTACTGATACTATTATGAAAGCAGGACCTCGGAGCGTCATATCCCAATGAAGAATTTGGATCGCAAGAAAGGCCTGCGTGACAGGTCACTTGGTCAGCACATCTCCCATTGGTATTGGAATTCGTACGTGTATACATCGAGATCCCTTAAGAGTTCAGTTGGAAGGCAAGCTAGTATCAGACACAGCCTGGAGAAAGGCGTCCTGGTCAGGACAGGATTGATACTCATCATGGGAAAGGAATGAAAGGCTTCGTTTGCGGGCTTACCTTTGAGGCGAAGAAGCTGAGACGATGCTCACTCCGAGGCATAGCCGAGAGACACTTCTACCGTCTGCGACACTGGTCCCTCAGTCGTACGTGCTCGGCTGAAGGAATTTAAGAGCACCCATATGCTTCGGCAACATGCCTGCCCTGGGAAGCAAGAAGTCAGCAGTTGTTCAAGCGTGGTTTGGTGTGGTCCAAGTATGCTTCCCGTATGGTTGGGATCAGAAAGACTTTATTATTGGGCATGACTTGGTGACAAGTTTCCCATGGACAGACGGTTTTATTATGCATATATGTACTAGCGGGTAAATGCTCAAATGGGACTCATTAGCATAGTAATTACTGAGATGGGACAACATTAGCAATATTGCCTGGGATTTCTAAAATGGTACAGTTTTATAACATTAGCATACACATTGGTACATTAATTATATACATAGGAATCTATTAATATAGAAATTACTAAAATAGGAAATATTAGCACCTCCTACTCTATCTACGATTTTTCGCATCTATAGGGTACGCGGGCAAATACAGAAATTATTGTATCTATAGTATAGTTATAAAGGCTTAAGGTTCGTACGGTATGCCCTCCCTTTCTATACCCTATCGTTATCGCCTTAAATAATAAAGTAGGTCGCATACCCTCGCCGCGTAGAATATCGCGACTACTATACCTAAAAAGTAAAGCAGGATTTCTGTATTATATAAGATAGCGTATATAATACTAAAATGCTACTTTAGTAAAACGCTTAGGAAAGTAAAGTCCTATACCCCTATCTAGTAAAATTCTAAGTAAAGTAAAGCTAAGTAAAGTCCTTCTATTTAGCTAAGGTATATACTATTGTATAATACTAAACATTACGTATAGTAAGGTTTAACAATATAATAGCAACTTCGACAGAATCGAATATTATATTAGGTAGTAGTATATATCTTCTTACGCCCTCTCGACTATATACCCTCTTACCCTTATCTATAATACTACCTTAAATACAAGAACTACGTTAACGGTATAGAAAGCAACAATGCGCTCTAGTACGAAGTCTATTGCTCGCTAGCAGTCGTAGCGGCTAATTAAGATTAGTATAGCAACCTCTATACTACGCGCTACGCGCGCCGCTAACTTTCCGCCTACCTAGGGCACTATAGAGGTCGCTGCTACGGCGACGCCGCTAGGTCGTCTTCGATCTAGTAAGAAGTTATATATATCTATCGCTAACCGTACTAAGTATGCCGAGAGTAAGACTAACCGATTATAAATAGCCGTCTCGATACGAAGAAGAAGAAGAACGAGGGCTACTAGGCTATTATTTCGTTTCTACTAGGGTTCTTAGTCTTAGTACTAGCGGTATAGCTAGTTTCTCGCTTTAGTAGTCTGCGTATTTCTACTAGCTCTGCTTTTCCGCATTTTTAAACTAAAAACTATATTTAATATAGTTTACGTAGATCTAGAAGAGATCTCTACGCCTTGCCCGCTCCGGCCCTTATCTCGTCGTTATAGTATAGTACGTTTATTCTATTCCTATATTGTTTAGCGATATCGCTATTTTCCGTATTTAATAGATAGACGAGCGAAGGTAGAAATTGCCGCTACCTACTAGATATTCGGTCGGGCCCGTCGCGAGGTCGAGGTTCTATATTAGCCTCGAGATTCCGCATTTCTATATCTAGTATAGGGACTAGCGGATATAGAAATTCGAGTTAGAATTAGTCTTTAGGTTCCGAATTACCCTCGAGGTTGCGAATTTCTATATTTAATAGGTCGGCTAGCGGATACGGAAATTGAAACTAGCCTCGAGGTTTAGCCTCGAGGCTCCGAATTAGCCTCGAGGTTGCGAATTTCTATATTTAATATGTCGGCTAGCGGATACGGAAATTAAAACTAGCCTCTAGGTTTAGCCTCGATGTTTAGCCTCGAGGTTGCGAATTTCTATACCTAATAGGTCGGCTAGCGGATACGGAAATTGAAACTAGCCTCTAGGTTTAGCCTCGAGGTTGCGAGTTTCTGTATTTAATAGGTCGGCTAGCGGATACGGAAATTAGTTATCTTCTCGAGGCTTAGGCTCGGATAGTTTACGAGATCCGGAACTCTAGAAACTCTATAGACGTCGACTTATTAAGTAGTTAGTATATACCGTTCTATATTTACTCCTCTAGCGGGACACTTGCCGAGTTACTATATCTATAATACCGGGAATAGTAAATAATTAGGGACGATATCGTAGATTGAACCTACGACTATTATATCGTAGAAAGTTCACCTCGTCTATAATCTATACTATTAAGCTACTACGCGAGCGACAACTATAAAGGCATATATATATATAAGAATTGATAGTTAGTATCTAATAGCGACGCGAGCCTGCTACTATACTAGTAGGTAAGGTTAGGAGTACAGTCCCTCCTCTGCTTAGTTATTAGTAAATATCCTTTGCCTAGAGGATTTAAACACTACGCAAAACCTCGGGCTTCGGCCTAGAACCCTAGGGGGTGTCGCGCTTCCTTAAACATTAGTTCTAAAGCCCTCGGGCATAGCGTCGTAAGAGCTCTATTCCGAGATACCTATATTAGATTAGGAGGTCTAATATTGTTAGACTAAGGTAACCCTACTTCGGCTAAAGTACCGCGTTAAAGTGAATTTACCCCTTACTAGAAAATCGAGAACAGTATAAGCCTAGCCTCTAGCTGCGATCGAGTTTCTATAGCCTCCTATAAAACTTAGACTTCTAGGCGGTAGGGGGTAAGTCTTTTGCCTTTTACTCCTAAGGCAAGGTAAGTATTTTGCCCTTGCTATAAAGGCTATATAAGTCTCTTGTTCTAAGGCAAGTAAGGTTAGTAAGTCTTCTGCTTTTGTCTTATTACTATAAGGTAAGGTAAGTTAGTCTCCTACTTCTACCCTATTACCGGATTAACCTGCAAATCTACCTAACCCTCTATATCCTTTTGCTTCTGTTTAGAATTTATACCGTATCTTATACCGATACCGTGTCTTATACCGATGCCGTGTCTTATACTAATGCCGCGTCTTATACCGATGCCGCGTCCTTCTACTTCTACTTATAATTTATAACATCCTTATACCGATGCCGTGCCTTATACCGATACCGTATCCTCCTACTTTTGCTTCTACTTGTAATTTATAACATCCTTATACCGATGCCGTATCCTTCTGCTTTTGCTTCTGTTTGTAATCTATAACATCCTCGTACCTAGGCTATATCCTTTTGCCTATACCGATGCCGTATCCTTCTGCTTTTGCTTCTGTTTGTAATTTATAACATCCTCGTACCTAGGCTATATCCTTTTACCTATACCGAGGCTATATCCTTTTGCTTCTACTTAGTTGTAATTTATAATATCCTTATACCGAGGCTATATCCTTTTGCTTCTATTTGTAATTTATAGTATCCTCGTACCGAGGCTATATCCCTTTGCTTCTATTTAGTTATA